CATAGCCAGTCCCTAAGCTATTTATGGATTTATACGTCAGTGTGAGCACCTTGAAGTTTTTAATATTTTAATACATCATTAATCGCAAGTAGGAAGTTTCCCTGGCTTGACTATTAGACCATGATTTCATACTAAACAGAACTTGCTAAACCGGGAAAGTTTCCACAGTGATTTGATTTGCATGATTGGGGTCCTCTGAGATCACTTTTTTTGAATCCCCATCCACCAGAGAGAGAGATTGAGCAAGCAAGAACACTTCCCCACTCCCCCAAATTTCTGATAACACTTCAGGTATCTTTTGCAAATGCTAATTCAGAAATGTGACCTCTCAGGACAAGGTGATACTTCTTGGAGTGGGAAAATGTTCAGATGATAAGGTAATACTACAAAAGAGGAAAGGTTTGAAGTTGAAATACCTATGTGTGAAATACCTCTGAGGCAAACTAGATTCCATTTTGTTTTCTGGGAAACGAGATAATTTTGGTGTCAAAAGAATGGGTACTATTATACAAGAGTTCAATGTAAGTAGCAAACTTCATTTTCTTGTCATCTTCTGGTACTCCAGGAACAACTGATAGGACACTAACAACATGTATGAAAACATAGGGGTCAGATCTAGTACTGTAACCCAAGGAGAATTTTGAATATTCAGCTGATAGCCAACAGTGACTCAAATGAAATATTGCATTAAGGAAAGAAGCAATTGGAATGTAAGATGCACACCTTAAAATCTGACCCAATAAACTTATTTCTACCCTGTTATGAATGAGTTGAACTGCACTGATGTGGCTTTATTTCTAACATCGGCTTGCTCTGTAAAGAATCTTACACAAAAAGGGATTAGTTGTTTCATTCAAATACATGGAAATATTGCCATCTTGTGGATACTGCTGTGAGTCATCATTTTCTCTTGGTAACATTTCATGATTTTACCACCCATGGCTAAATAGATAGTGAATAGTTACCATACTTAGTATCATTGATCCTTCAGTCATTGATCATTCTGCCCTGAATAGTTCTTGGGCAAATTCTGTGGTTTTGTGAAGGCAGATGATCAACATGACTTTACACTGACAATGTCATGTAAATGTAAAGCTCAAATATTTTAGAGAGGAAAATATTTTAAAATAATGTTTACAGGATTTAACTGTTCCCACAGTGAATTTTTAAGACTGTTGGAATTATTTGGAACAAGTTTCTGACAAAAGTACTCTTCTTACATTTGCCACAAAAGTAGTGTGTGGCTGCTGGTACCTTGTAACTGTTGGTATTCTGATAAATGCTTCATCTCCTGGATAATGTCAGTCTTAAGTGCTCTTTGTACTATCTCTGCATTGCACATAGGGTACATTTATATTTATATATAGATTTGTTTGTATGCACGTGTATGTGTGAATGTCTATATTTTGGCACATTTTATGCTATGCGTCGCAAAGTTGCATCCGATCCATCGCGACCCCATGTACAACATTCCTCCAGGCTCTCCTATCCTCCGCCATCCCCTGGAGTCCACCTAAGCTCACGCCGACTGCTTCAGTGACTCCATCTAGCCACCTCATTCTCTGCCATCCCCTTCTTCTTTTGCCATATATTGTTTCCAATATTAGGCTCTTCTCCAGGGAGTCCTTCCTTCTCATTAGGCGGCCAAAGAATTTGAGTTTCATCTTCAGTCTCTGGCCTTCTAAAGAGCATTCAGGGTTGATGATCTCTAAGACTGACTGGTTTGATCGCCTTGCAGTCCAAGGGACTCACAGGAGTCTCCTCCAGCACCACAATTCAAAGGCCTCAATTCTTCGGTGCTCAGCCTTCCTTATGGTCCAGCTTTCACAGCCATACATTGCAACTGGGAAAACCATAGCCTTGACTATACGCACTTCTGTTGGCAGGGTGATGTCTCTGCTATTTAGTATGCTGTCTAGATTTGCCATAGCTTTCCTCCCCAGGAGCAAGCATCTTTTAATTTCTCAGCTGCAGTCCCCATCTGCGGGGATCTTGGAGCCCAGGAAAATAAAATCTGTCACTACCTTCATTTCTTCCCCATCTATTTGCCAGGGAGTGATAGGACCGAATGCCATGATCTTAGTTTTGTTAATGTTGAGTTTCCAGCCATGTGTAGAGACATCTCTTGGGTTGTTGGAAAAGAGTGTTTGCTATGACCAGTGTGTTCTCTTGACAAAATTTTGTCAGCCTTTTTCCTGCTTCCTTTTGTACTTCAAGGCCAAACTTGCCTGTTCCAGTTATCTTTTGGCTTCCTACTTTAGCATTCCAATCCCCCATGAGGATCAGGACATCAGTTTTTGGTGTTATTTCTAGAAGATGTTGTAGGCCTTCATAGAACTGGTCAACTTCAGCCTCTTCAGCACCAGTGGTTGGGGCATAGACTTGGACTACTGTGATGTTGAATGGTTTGCCTTGGATTCGAACTGGGATCATTCTGTCATTTTGGAGATCATATCCCAATACTGCTTTTCCTACTCTTTTATTGACTATGAAGGCTACTCCATTTTTTCTGAGGGATTCTTGCCCACAGTAGTATACATGATGGTCACCTGAATTCAATTCACCCTTTCCTGTCCCTTTTAGCTCGCTGATTCTCAAGATGTCGATGTTCAATCTTGTCATCTCATGTTTGACCACATCCAGCTTACCTTGATTCATAGTTCTTATATTCCAGGTTCCTATGCTGTAATGTTCTTTGCAGCATCGGGCTTTCCTTTCGCCACCAGATACATCCGCAACTGAGTGTCCTTTCAGCTTTGACCCAGTCACTTCATTCTTTCAGGTGCTACTAGTACTTGTCCTTTGCTCTTCCCCTGTAGCACATTGGACACCTTCGAACCTGAGGGGCTCATCTCCCGGCATCATATCGCTTTGTCTCTTGATACTGTCCATGGGGTTTTCATGGCAAGGATACTGGAGTGGGTTGCCATTTCTTTCTCCAGTGGATCACATTTTGTCAGCGCTCTCTGCTATGGCCTGACTGTCTTGGGTCCCCCTGCATAGTATAGTTCATAGCTTCATTGCACTACACAAGCTCCTTCGCCACGGCAAGGCAGTGATCCATGAAGGGGCACATTTTAGGGCTGTTTAATACATGATGAATATCTTGTATCATTTGCAAATACAGTGTGATGAATGTATTTGCACACAATGGAAAGCTCCAACTGACATCACACTTCAATAATATGTAGCACTTAAGGTTTCTGAAGAGCAGTTAAGTTGTGTATTAAGGGAGGAAGGGGGTTGCTCTACTTCCTGCAGTACAGACAGGGTCCCACTACTCCTTATGGCCACCTCAGCCTGAACCAGGGGACTCTCAGACCTTACAGGATACTGTTAGGGCTAAAGGAATGTGTTCAAGCCAGGACCCTCTGTTACAAAGCTGTAGGCCTGGGATTTTAAGTAATGGCAATAACCAAGCAGAAGATCCTAGATGTGATACTAAGGCTTACCTTGAAAAACACGATCGAATGCTTGAGGTAGGCATTAGGTATATTTACAAACAGAAGGCAGGAAAGGGGAGGTATAAGGCCATATATGAACTAGAGTACCTTTGCAGAAAATGTTATAAGGTAAGAACAAAGTTTACCTAAACCTACTTAAACACATCTAAGCATGTGCATTCAGACAGCCATATATGGAGTCCAAAGCAAAGCGAAAGATGAAGGTTCTAGGCCACTGCAGGCTTTCTTTATGCTTAAAGTCTTGACCAGGGGTCCTCAGACTAAGGCCCACAGGCCAGATCTGGCCCACCATGCCCATTTAACCAGCCCGCACCACAGGTTTTGCACTTGCTGGGCATGTGTGGGTGCGCAGCTTGCTCATGAGGAGGTTGTTTTGGATTCAACTGGGGAAAATGATCTCCTCGCAAGCAAGCTGGCGCCTTGCCATGTGTGCACCCTGTGGCAGTTTGCTCGCAGGGAGGTCATTTTGGACTTGCTTGGAGAAAACGATCTCCTTGCGAGCAAGCCAGCACCTCGCCTTGCGCATCCCCCTGTCCCTGCCTCGCGTGCACCCCTCCCCCTCACCGGCCCACACCCCCCACCAGCACCGCCTTGGCGGCCTGCGCCCACCCCTGGCACCTGTCAACTGGCACCCTTTAGAAAGAGTTTGAGGACCCCTGGTCTTGACAACTCTTAAGGAGATCCTGGCTAGTCAGATACAAAGTAGCTGGAATGCTCCTATAGGTGGGGTGGTAAAAGTTCCTACAAGAACACAGCTGAGATCTCTCAGTCCAGTCAACTAGTCCCTGGTTGGATCTTAGAATTAGCAACTTCTCTAGATAACTCTGATACAGATGGTGCATCACCATGCACTACTTTAATCAGGCAAAACAGAAATTTGCAGGGAAAATTCTTAACCTGCGCTGGTATGGGCAAGCCTGTTACTTTTGAAGTAAATAGCAAACCCATTTAGGGTAAGTTCACCCATCGCTGGTTGCAAATTATTTTTGTTGCACTGGATCACAATATAACTACATGATAGTAAGTGTGGAATCATATTTCTGATTATATCTGTACTCTAGTATTTTTTCACTTAATGCCCTTTTAAATCTGTCACTTCACTTAATCAAGTAGGTGGCCTGTTGCAAACCCTTCAGAAGTGTAGTGTTGCCCAAGGGTTGGTTATGTTAAGAACCTGATTGTAGGTTGTTTTGACGACCCGAAGTAAGGATGGTCGTCATTAGATTTCTAGTACCAAAAAGTTTTTTCTCTTGGTCTTAATTGATCAAAGCACGGTAGGGAAGTTTGCAGATTAATCAAAATTCAGTTGCTGTGTTAGATAATTTATTTTCAGTGTTAGCTTTATTCTGTCAAAGAATCAGAATTATTTTAAATACTGAGCAAGTCCATATGCAATGTTCACTATGTACACTGCTTATGAAAACTTTCAAATTGATTAAACTTTCTCAGAATGAACTATACATTAGAATAATTGTACACAACAAGTTGGTCATAATGAACTAACAGGTTCTCTTTTTATTCTGCTTCCTCTTTAAGGCAAGACATTTTAAAGTGGAATGGATGGGGATACAATGACTCAAAATTCATATTCAATAAAAAGGGTCAAGGAGAATTCACAGGAAAAAGGTAATAACTATAGTGACTGCAAAATTTATAATCTTTTCTTTTTCTTGAAAAAGTGGTTAAATGGTACCTGAATGGTAGTTAATGTGAAGAATGTGCAGCTACATTGAAGGATCACTGTTTCCCCCCCTTGCTGTATATGAAGGAATACATCTTATGTCCATTTAGATAGCTTCTAGGTGAGGGTATTTAAACTTATAATTATATAGTATGTAGTTTGAGTGCGATTAGTTGTCTGGTTATGTTGGGTACCTTTTGAGGCTTAACTGATCTCACAGATTCAAAAAAGGCAAGTGGCAGCTAGCAAGTTCCTTGGCCTGCTACATAACCCCAGTCCTATGGATGCCCCTGACCCTTTATACACATCAGCTGCTTGTTTCTGCATGAGCTAAGGCGAAGGCAAAGGGCTCTTTGATTCCTTCATTTCTAATCTGTAGAGATCAGAGCATTTGGCAGAGCCAATATTTCTTAGATATCACTGAGAGGTTACTCTGAGTTGCAGGCAACTCCACTCTTGTGTGATCAGCAATAGCAACCTTGACATCGTTCTCTGGTTATTAAGCAACTTAACTGTTGCCTGCCTTTTGCCTGAGTTTCTTCTCATTCACTTACTTATTGCATGCATATCCCAGTTTCTTTTTGTGCTGCAAGGAACCCAAGGCAGCTTACATGCCCCTCCTCTTCATGTTATCTGCAGAACAACAACCCTATGAAGTAGGTTAGGCTGACAGTCAATGACTAGCCCAAAATAACTCAGTGAGCTCCATGTGGAGACGAAAACCTGATTGCCTGAGTCCTAGTCCACAACTGTATCACACTGGTTCTAATGTAGGGTTGCTAGCTGTTGAACTGGGCTATGGTTAGGAAGCTTTGAATTTTATTCCCCATGAATATACTAGCTCTCTTTTTAAAACCTCTTAATCTTATCTGGGGGCAGTGAATTTCACAATTTAATGATTGCTACTCCAGATGAGTTGTCATGTGTGAGCCTACTCATGTTTCCGCAGGATGGTTTATGTGTGGGAAACAGTCTACCCTGCCAACTTACAGTGTGTTACAGGGGTTGTTGAATCCACAATGATTTGTCATGTCTTCTGAGCCTGGATGACCAACCCAGCCATGGGCATGGAAAATTGGCTAGCAAGAGCAATAAAATACTTTTACTACACTTGCCATGGGCTTTTGGCCAAGCACCAGTACTGGCTACAAGAATTAAATGGGGGCAGCTAGCACAGACTTCCCCCTTTAGTGCTGTGAGGTGATTTGGGTTCAGTGCAGCTTCTTTTCCTTTAAATTTTTATTTTGTCACAAAAGCTTGTTGTCACTCTGGTATATTTGAATAAATCAAATAACATCAGGTTTGCACTAATTTCAGGCTAGAACGAACTGACTTGTATGCTTTTGGATTCAGGTACCGGATAGGTGGAATTGTGTTTCCTCTTTTGAAAGAATGGGTGGAAAAAAATCTTGGAGGAAATCTGGAACATAAAATCACTCCAAGGGTAAGCAAATATATGAGGATTATTAGCCATTTGTCACTTTTAACTTGTGTAATTGCTATACTTTTCATGTGGTTGAATTGAGGGTATAACGCTGCCTAGACTAAGTCAGATCACCCATCCACTGTGAGTGGCTGTCCAAGATCTCTGGTGGAGGTTCTTTGTAGCCTTTCCACCAGTGCTGTATGGTGGCATCCTAAATAAATCAAGAAGTCTGTGTTTACAAATATGTCAGTCTGATCTGTCTTGTTTGCTTATGACCTTTCATAGTGACATTATCCTCCTGCTTTTTAAAACATAAATTACATGTTTTTATATTTCAAAAAACTCTACTGCTGCTTGCTGCTTTTAAATTGGAACAGTGTTTTTAAGTTTGTAAAATAAAAGTTCTTGTAAATTGTTCTTGGTGTTCTATGGCTAGGACAATTCATGAACAGTAAATAATAAGATATGAAAAGATTATGCTTCCTTGCCAGTGATTAGTCACTTGACTAATCACAAAGTAGAATAGTTAGCCAATAGGGTGGTCAAATACCTTAAACCAATTCTAACAGACACCAGCTAATCACACAATGCCAGGTTAGTTGACTGCTGTGATAGACTGATGTTGTCTTCTCAGCTAATGAACCTTTTTCTCAAGTGTGCCAAGTGAGATTGTGACATGCTAGTACATTCCTGGGAGCATATGCAGTCTTCTCTGTGTCCTTAGCCAGTCTGGCACACTTCCAAGACAGGCAGCAACATGGGAAAGACAGGGAGGTCTGTGTGCCTCCTGTGCTGGAGCCAGATGCACAGATGTCACTTCTTCTGTTCAGGTATCCTACAAATTTCTGCTGCCTGTGTCACACAAGCCACAAGTTGGTCACTCATTTTATAATTTAAACTTTAGAAATCTGTTATTGTAGCTGGTGAGTTATATAATTAACACAAATCAAATCACAGACTCTTTTCTGCCCTGTAAATAGAAATAGCTCAATTCATTGCAAACTTTTGTTCAGAAGGATACCAATAAAGCCCATATATTTTTCCTTTTTTAATTTTTGCTTTTCCCAAGAATCTTGAAAGATATAACTTACTTTGTTTATAAAACAGTTATAACTTCAAGGCACAACCTTCTGCAAGTTTAGACAGAAAAAAAAGACTTATGGCTGGAGCATGCTGGGGATTTTAGGCTTTTTTTCTTTCAAAATTTGCAGAGGATTGTCACCTTAATATTTATTTATTTAAAGTTTTTATATGCCATCCCCTTGCTACATAGCCTCAGGGCGGCTCACAGAAAGCCGTATATTAAAATTTCTAAACTGTGTACATTAAAATATGACATATAGAAAAAAGAATAATAAATAAAACAGTTATAAATAATTGAAACACTGTATCACCATTGCCATAAAACAGGGTAGTGACAGAGTACTTCAAAGAGCATAGAACGCCTGTACAAATAGTTGAGTTTTTGAGAGGTATTTAAAACTTCCACTGTTCCAGCTTCTCTGATCACATGTAAGAGAATGGATCAATGCAACACTGAAAAGGTACCACAAGCTGGTGACATTCCACTGACTGCAGAAAGACCAGTAAGGCCTACTCAGAAATCTAAGAGGACATACAAGATGGTCAGCTAGATGTCCTGGTTCCAAGTTGTTTATGGTTTTTCATTTCAACAACATGGTTCAATAGCTAATAAGCAGCCAGCACAGTTTATTTATTTATTTAAAGCATTTTTTTATTCTGTCCCCTTTGCAACAAGCCTCGGGGCGGCTTACAAAGCAAATAAACAAATATTGAATAAAATTTAAAAAACCTGGATACATCTCGGCAGGTGTAAAATAAATAAATAATAACAATTAACAGTTAAAATATCATTTAAATAAAAAGGTCTTGGCCTGACGCTGAAAAAAAAAAAAACAATGGCGCCAGGCGGACCTCTCTGGGGAGCGCATTGCATAGGTGGGGTGCCACCGCAGAGAAGGCCCTCCTCCGGGTGCTCACCCTCCTAATGGCTTTCACGGAGGGCTCCCGGAGAAAGGCCTCTGCCGCCAATCTCGGGGGGGGGAGGGCATGTATGGACGCAAGCGCTCCTTTAGATAACGAGGTCCCAAGCCCTTAAGGGCTTTATTGGTGATAACCAACACCTTGAATTGGGTCCAGACTTCAATGGGAAGCCAGTGAAGCTGACGGAGGACTGGGGTTATGTGAGAACAACACCCAGCCCCCGTCAGCAACCTGGCAGCTCTGTTTTGCTCCAATTGAAGTATCTGGACCATCTTCAAGGGCAGCCCCACGTAGAGCGCGTTACAGAAGTCTAATCGGGATTTTACCAATGCATGTGTCACTGTCGCCAGGCAATCGTTCTCCAGGTAGGGACGCAGCTGCTGGATCAGCCGGAGCTGAAGGAAAGTGCTCCTCGCCACCACCGTCACTTGAGCTTCCAAAGACAGCTCGGGTCGAGGAGCACTCCCAAGCTGCGGACCCTGTCCTTTAGAGGAAGTGCAACCCCATTCAGGACAAGGTCCAAGTCCCCCACCCCGAAGCCCGAACCACCCACCAACAGGACCTCTGTCTTGTCTGGATTGAGCTTCAGTCTATTGGCCCTCATCCAGCCCATTACCTCGGCCAGGCACCGGTTCAGTACAGCCACTGCCTCACCTGGATTGGTTGAAAACGAGAGGTAGAGCTGGGTATCATCAGCGTACTGATGATTCCGCAGCCCACACCTCCTAATGATCTCTCCCAGCAGTTTCATGTAGATGTTGAATAGCTAGGGGGACAAAATGGACCCCTGCAGAACTCCATGGCATAACTGCCATGGCTCAGAGCCATAGTCCCCCAGCACCACCTTCTGAAATCGGCCATTGAGATGGGAGCGGAACCACCGCAAAGCAGTGCCTCCAACTCCCAATCCTGCTAGCCTATCCAGAAGGATACCATGGTCAATGGTATTGAAAGCCGCTGAGAGGTCCAGGAGAACCAACAGGGACGCACTCCCCCTGTCTCTTTCCCTGCACAGGTCATCGTACAGGGCGACCAAGGCAGATTCAGTACCGTACCTGGGTCTGAAGCTGGACTGAAATGGGTCCAGATAATCAGTTTCATCCAAGAGTGCTTGGAGTTGTCCTGCCACCACCCGCTCTAACACCTTGCCCAAGAACAGGATGTTGGCCACTGGTCTATAATTGGCGGCCACCTCTGGATCCAGGGATGCCTTCTTTAGGACTGGCTGGGCTACCACCTCCTTTAAAGGGGCAGGTACCCGGCTGTCCCTTAGAGAGGCGTTGACAACCTCCAGGATCCAGGTCCCAATCCTGTCCTTGGGTTGCTTGAGTAGCCAAGATGGGCAAGGGTCCAGTAAGAAGGTGGTAGGACGTACTTGTCCAAGCACCTTGTCCACGTCATCAGGCTGCAACAACTGAAACTCATCCATCAATTGTGGACCAGATGGCAACATTGGCACCTCCCCAGTAGAATATGATTCACTAGTAGAGTCCAGCTCATGACGAATCTGAGCAATTTTCTCCCGGAAATGCTTGGCGAAGTCGTCACAGCGGGCCTTTGAGGGTGGCACTAGATCTTTCTTTGGGCCCGGATGTACCAGCCCCTGTACCACCCAAAAGAGCTCCGCCGGATGGCATTGTGAGGAGGCAATGGAAATGGAGAAGAATTTCTTCTTCGCCGCCTTCACCGCCACAGCATAGGCCCTATAATGGGCTCTTAAGCGTGTTCGGTCAGAATCACCCCATGATCTCCTCCACCTACACTCTAGACGTCTCCCAACCCGCTTCATCGCCCATAGTTCAGATGTATACCAAGGGGATGAATGGGCTCTGCCAGGTGGGAGAGGACGCTTAGGAGCGATCGTATCAATAGCCCTGGTCATCTCCTCATTCCACAGTTCAACCAGGGCATCGACAGGAGCACCAGCCTTATCAACCGGGAAATTCTCCAGGGCCTTCAGGAATCCATCCGGATCCATCCGGCTCCGGGGGTGGACCAGCACAATCGGGTCCACACCCTTACAGAGGGAAAGGCCGCTCTCGAGCTCAAACCTCACAAGGAAGTGATCTGACCATGACAGGGGTGTCAGACACAAGTTCCTCACCCTCAGATCACCCTCTTCCTGCCCCGTCGAGAAAACCAGGTCCAGAGTGTGTCCACGTTCATGGGTTGGGCCAATGACTTGTTGAGACAGCCCCATGGCCACCATGGAGGCCATGAAGTCCTGAGCCGCCCCGGTCAGAACCGTCTCGGCATGGAGATTGAAGTCCCCCAGGACCAACAGTTCTATGTAATCTGCCTATATCTAGGTGCTCCTTTGAATATTCTAGCTGTTGCATTCTGCATTAGCTATAACTTCTCAACCAGAATTAAGGGCAGCCCCATGGAGAGGACATTACAGTGTAAGGTTACAAGTTCACCAATCTCTTGAACCACTGGCTATAAGTTCTGTATTTTGTCCTGATTCAGGGTCAGTTATTCTAATGGGTCCATTAGCCCATTTTTAAATGTAGTTAGAGTTCAGGCAGATGAAAACCTATATTGAAAGAGCTTACAGGCTTCTTAGGCTCCTACAGGGTTTTCATCAAGAAACACCATGTGGCAATTAAGTGTGTTAAGTGGTCATGTAAGCAGTCGGTCCAGTATTAGTCCTCACCCTCAGATTGGCTGTTTGTGCCAGCATAATACAGGAACATGATGCAAGGGATGGCAAGAGCAAGAGCGATTGCTGGCAGGAAGTGGGAATTGTTCTTCCTTGTGGTGGGAATGAAAGTAGTATGTGTCTTATTTGTTCTTACGAATAAATTATTGAACATCATGGGTGTTCATTTGTTTTTACATTGAAGGCATCTTTAAATATTAGTGATGTACCTCCCTCCATTGCAAATGAAGAATTTCTCCAGGATCTCCAAACGTCTAAAATATCATATTCCCAAGAAGCAGAAGCTAGGGTATTCAGAGCTCACGGTAAGCCAACATCTTCATACACAAAACTGTGTCTTGTGTGTTTTTCACTTTGCTATTTTCATAAGTTTCCCCCCCCCCCCCCGCCCCTTCACTTGTGTTTCAGGTCATTGCCTTCATGAAATATTTTTGCTAAGGGAAGGAATGTTTCAGCGAGTTCCTGATGTAGTTGTATGGCCAGGTATGCTGTTCAGAGTATTTTTCTCATTCTTCAGATTGTCTTCCAATCAATATCATGGTGTCTTTCACAGCAGAACCCTTCTTGTCTGCCATTCCTGCTTTGATTACTACCGCTTATTGTTTGCCACTTTTTTTTCATTTCAATAATGTAGAGTTGAGATTTGATATTATGTTTAATATTCTTGTCCTCACAAAGTTGTGTGATTGTGTTCATAATTTTATTAGTAGGGTTTTTTTTAGCATTCCTGTATAAGTATATTCTTACTGCTGTTCAGTATATGTTGTCATATCCAGTCTATTTCCTGGCATATTTCAGCTTCTAAACGGTACAGGAAGTAGATTAGGGAACATACATGGAAATTGATAATGGGTTCCATCCAGTTTACATCCTATTCATTTCAGTGGGTCTACTGTAAGTTAGACTAGTGTGCGATATAGTTGTCTAACTCAGTTTTGTCACTTCAGTTTCATCTAAAGTGAAAGAAATAGGGTCAGCATTTGGATGTATTCTCTCTGTCTTTGGCAGCACAAGCACATGAAATGGTGGAGCAAGTTTCAGAATGCACACATATTCCGTCCTTGGAAAACTGAAGACCATTTGCAAGTTTTGAATGTGTCATTGTTGAAATAGATATTCTAGGCAACTGATCTTATTAAACAAATTGATTTAAAGTGTGCTAGCATTCTGAAGAATGCATAATTTACTATTTCAACTGGCATACAGTTCACAGTTACTAGTTTTGCTTACTGTTGCTATGACTTGCAGGCCCTTACACAGCTATATCTATGTATATAGATATAGTTCAAAGCCATATCCAGGTATTACTCTTGTATGCCTTATTCCCTCCCAGGTCATCAGCAGTAACGCTGATCATCTATTCAGGGAAGGAGCACTTAAACAGAGAGGACTTCTTCTCTAGGTTGATGTGAAGAAGGCATCCCACAATGACTTAACTTTTCTATCACTCGGGGAACAGCATGGTCCATGTGACAAATTTTCAGTACTCTTTTGGTCCCAGGCTCTTCTTTTGGTTGCCAGTTCATCCCTGTTTTTACCCCCGCACCAAAAAAGAGCTATTTCTCATATCTTGACCTTTTAAAAGCTACTTGTATTATTACTATAATTTTATTGATTACTGTTATAAAAACATTTCCTTACTTGTAACTTCCAAACTTTACTAGCTTTTCCTCCCCCGCCCCAAAAAACAAACAAAAAACCACTTTCACTTGTTTCTTCTGCTGTTCCTTTTTCATTCTTTATTATGGCTCCACTAGGGAATAATTCAAGATCAAGACTGCAATGAAACACAAAGCAAAAGAATAGTCCTATCATGGAAGGATAGTCAAAAAAAGAACAACCACAAGCATCCTCATTTCCTGCAAAGAGCATTTTTTCACTGATGATGCCTGAGACGATAAGCTGTGAGATTACCAGTTTACATCATCATCTGAATCACACTGAAACAGAGTGGGAAAGCTAATCCAGCTGTGATCCAGCTAATCCAGCTGAGATGGCTGAGGCTGAGGGAGTTTGGTTGCTTACAGGCAAACACCTGAGATAAGACACAGCCTGTGATTCAGGTGATTTGGGCTTGGAAATGGATGAAAGGGGGGCAGCAGGACCCTGACAGTAGACCTGAAAAATAGGTGAGAACACTGAATGGTTCCAGCCACTTCTTAGATCCCAACCAATCTAAGTAAGTGCCCATTTTGGAAAGCAACCTTGATTTCTCCCAGCAGGAGAAGCCGTAATTCACTCTAATCTACAAGAAGGGAATAAAAGTCCCTCCCACAAGTAATGAACATTTCTCTGATTGATAGATCAGTGCTTTCCCAATCCAGTATGGTGGTACTCCATGATCATAACTGGACAGATTCTTAATTACATAAACCTACTGTTGGAGCCAGCCATGGAGAGAAGTTCACCAATGATATCATACATCAGATTTTTCTTCTTTGCTCTCTCCAGCATGATTGCCTCTGTAGCCACTCAGCCAACAGAGCAAAACAAAACAATACAACACAACAACTATCCAGAGAAGCTGTGATGCTCCCAGAGCCTCAGCAAACCTCCAGAGAATTACACTTTCCTAACTCCTTAAAAATTGCCGAAATTAAATTGGAAATTTTCTCTTCCAGGGAAGGAGGACACTACAGCAGCATTATATGCTTCCATGGTACCTTATGGATGTTCCCATGATGACACACTTGTTAGGGGCAACCATACTAAAAGATCAAAGCCCTTCCCTTAAAGACAAGGGTGTAATAAGGTTTGAGGTAGCATTAAAGAAAGCTTGTGTAGCATCAGCTCTAGCATCAGTAGTTTCATCATACTTCAACGGAGTTCCTTTATTTATTTTATTTATTTATTTAGGAGACTTCTATGCCACCCCATTCGCCGAAGCCTCGGGGTGGCTCACATCCATAAATAAACTTCCATAGAATAATATAAATTAACAGTATAAATTAAGTCACCCTGGCCAAAGAATAAAATGAGTAAATACTATTAACAATTAAAATGACATTTGAATAAAAAGGTCTTCACCTGGTGCCGAAAAACACATAACGACAGTGCCAGGCGGACCTCTCTGGGGAGCGCATTTCATAGATTGGGCGCCACCGCAGAGAAAGCCCTCCTCCAAGTACTCACCCTCCTTAAATCAGACAACTTTATACAGAAGATAAATTAAGCTTTCAAAGCCTTGTACCACCTTAGCAGGCACCGCACAAAATTAATTGCATATTAATGCATGCTCCATGGCCAGCTGTAGCTCTGGCTTGTTGTCCTGTCTGGCTTAAGCAGTGACGTATAGATACTCCTTTTAGGGGAAACTTTATCTCACAGTGCCTACTTGGAGAAAATATTTTAAAAGTTATCCCCATAAAAACTAATGGTAAGAAATAAGTCATACCTTCAACTGTCAGGCAAGAGGATAGGCAATCTTTTAACAGACCTTTCTCTTCCTTTCATCCCATCAGGTCCACTAATCAGTTTTCCTTTCTTCCAAAATCTTTATAGATTCCCCAAATCAGCCTGGTCTAGACAACATTTCTGGGCCAGTTGTGACAGTGCCTCTAGCTCTGTTGCTGAAACATCCTTCAAAGCCAGACACCCACAATTCTGACACCAGCAATGTCAAGGTAGGAGGAAAATGTCAGCCTTTCCTCCGGACCTGGAAACAGTGAGCATCTGGCCAAACCTTAGACATTGTCGGCCATGTCTGCCACACTGAATTCTGGAAAAATCTATCTCCCAGATTCATTCCATCACCAGCATCACACTTCACTGCCAAAAAAACATGTTCTTTCAGAAGCAATACAGCATCTACTTCAGATAGGTGCCATAACAGGTTCCTCTTCAAGAAAAATGGAAAGACATTCTGGTTCTTTGTGATGGATAACAGACTGAAGATGGCAGTCACGTTGACTCTCAGACACCTCAACACATTTTGCCAAGTATAGTTGTTTTCTCATGGAAACTCTTCAGGCAGTCAAAGATATGTTCATATCACTGAAGCTTGTCTTCATGTTCCAGTCTCCTCGTGCTGCAGATGTTTCCTTTATTTCACCTACAAGAACCAGTACTTTCCAAGCCGTGCTTTTTGGCCTAATCTCAGCATCCTGTGTTTTCACCAAGATTGTGGTGTCCCTGGAGGGCCATCTGTCATCATCACCTCATTTATACCCCACCTTTCTTCCTCGTACAAGGAACCCAAGATGGTTTGCAAGGTTCTCCTCCTCTCCATTTCAACCTCACAACAAGAACCCTGGCCCATAGTCAGCTGAAACCAACAAAGTCTGTATCCTACCATAGAGCCGTAGTCAACACCACAAAAGGGTTACCTCTTTTACTCTTTGGATAGCTCATTTTGACACTAACTTGATGCAGTCTTAATGGATCTGACACACTTACTAGACTTCATGTTTTCTTGCTTTGGCATTGTTCCATGGATTAGACAGCATTCTTATCCCTCACGGTAGTTATTGCTACCTTCTGACCTCAAATTGCCAGGAAGCAACATCTCATGTTCTGCCCTGCCAACCTAGAGTTTCTCTTTGGTGGCAGCATCTTTGGAAACTTAGGCACACCAGGCCAGGAACCATGCAGGATTACACTCAAGTACAGATGCCAGAAGCCCAAGGGAAACTGCAGCTATTGAAAAAGAAACATAGCAACAGTTAGCTAGAACTCAAAGCAATGCATTTGGGCCTGAAGCACCTTTTGTACCATATCCAGTGCACTCGTGACAGATAACATTCTGGTGAAGGCTCGTATTTGGATCTAAAGAGGATCCAAATCTTGCAAAAGATTCATTTTGCAAAGAAGTCCAGTTCCTGCTGTTTTAAACTGAGCAAATTTAGCTTTGATCTCAGCTTAGCATATCAAAAGGCTACTGACCCACAGAGTGAATTATCTGAACTAGTGACAGACCTGAGAGAAAAGAACCTGCATTCTTCAGTATTTCAGGATTGCTTCAGTTAACTCACAATAGCCTATTATTCTTACAACACAAACTACAAATTCCCAAGATTCCTTTCAGGATCCTGCTCTTCTGAATTGGAAAAAATAGATGCAAGAACCTCAGCTGGCTGAAAGAGTTTCTTCTATGCCACTTTCCTTTATGCATTTCCACCAATCATGATCCTTGCAATGGTGTTGCCAAAGTTCAAGCCAGAATAGGTGACAGTCTTCTTAATGCCATTCTGACCATATTGAGCATAGTTCCCTGACTGCTAAATTTATCATATTACGGGCCCTAGTTTCTCCCTCGGAAAGCAAATAGCTTTTTTCAACACCTAGTTCTTCACCCAGATCTTAGATGCCTTTGATTAGCTGCCTCCCTATGGAAAGATCCATCTCTTCTAAACTAGGCTATTTGTGTACAGCCATATATACCTTGCTGACATCCTGCAAAGAATTCATATCATGCATAGGTGAAGGAAACAAAAGAACAATGGCCATAATCCAGGTATTGAAGAATTTCTCCTCCTCCTCCAGGCTGGCTTGGACTTTAGCCCAGAACCCCGCACAGGAAATCATCAGCCATTACTTCAGTTCTGTCAAAACCAAGATGCCCTTTGTTAAACATGCAACTTTATCTTAAGATTGCTCAGAGGAGCCTTTCTGGTAAGCCCTCTCAGGATTCATGGATGCCCATTGTGGAGCCTACACGCTGTCTTCTTGACATTAAAAAAGGAGAATCAATGGGGTTGCGCTCTCCCAGGCCTAAAGCCCTATTGAAATGAATCTGATGTCCTAATTTCCCTCATTCACCGAATTCCTCAGCCATCTAATGTCCTAATGTCCCTCAGTTGTAGAAGAGGGATAGTCACAAATTGGATGCACACAAGACAGTAAAAATCTTCCTTAAACATACTCAGGCAATCCAATTCTTTACTCAGCTGACCTCTACACCCTCAGACTGATCCTTCTCCTGCAAAACTCTAGTCATTTATTCTTTCACAGGTGATAAGCCTTGTGCTGCTTCTTATGATTCCACCTGGGGAAGTTTCTTGTTTGTTCCTTTCTGAGTTATAGCCATAGACAGAGCTGGCAAAGAGGAGCCTGAGACCAACACAGTGCTTGCAAATCTGTCACATGGCATGATCCCTGCTTTTCCCTGGGCAATAGGAGTCATCTCATCATGGGATGTCTTCTACACAACAACCAGAAGGAACTATCTTAGAAACTAACAGTGCTTTGATCCAGCTTCTTACTTCCTTTCGTTTCCACCCAAAAGACTTTTGACACTGTTCATGCTATCTGGACTGGGATAATGGGATCTCTAATGTAAAGAATAATGGACATAGCATGATTTTCTATCCAGTTTGTAGAAGCCTTCTTGTTGGTACATATGGCTCTTGAAAAGAACTTAGAAACTTAACCTAGTGCAAACAGCAGCTACCTGATTAGGTGTTAATCATACAGAGCAGGTTTCACCAATCCTGCATGATCTGATTAGTTGCTAGTTCATGTCTAGGCTCAGTTCAAGATGCTGGCTCTTACTGTATTTGACTTTTGGAACAGCCTTTTCCCCTTATTTAGCCTTTTATGCACCTTGTTCAATATCTGAGATCTTACTCTGAAATTTGAAGGATATCAGCTAGAAGGAGGAACTTTCAAATAGTGCTGCTAGCCTTATGGAAAGGCCCATCATGCCCCAACATTTTAGATCATCTGTATCAAGCTGGCTCTTTCCAAAGGCTTCTTAATCTGACTAGCTTAGTGGCTTTACTTTCCTAAGGGTTCACTTCTGTTTTCACTTCATTTCTCTGAGTTAGGCTGAATTTGTAATTTAATGTTATTTGAAGTGTAATCATGTTGTGAATTATGTTTAATATTTATAGTTTTAAATTTGCATGTTATATTTTTCTTTTCATGCAAGCTGCTTTGGTTTTAATTTATAACCACCTAAATGTATAAAATTGATGATCTGCCTTCAGACTCAGCTTTGTGAGCAAGTATTGTGCATAGTCCTATTTCCTCCCCATATGTAATATGTATTTTGGGTGGGATTTCCTTTTCATCCTGCAGTAAAGCTCTAAAAAATATTGCAGGCATCATTACTTTAATACAGTTGTGGCTCTAGCATCAATGTAATGGCAAAACGCTGTTAAATAATTTAATAAATGCAAAACTAAATTTTAAGTGCTTGGGGTTTAACTGGGTAACTAAAATCATTTAGTGTATTTTGTTAGAATGTTTTATTTTGAGGTACATTTAATTCTCTTGCCTTTTTTTATAGAGTGTCATGATGATGTAGTAAAAATTGTGGAACTAGCCTGCAAGCATAATATTTGTATTATACCATTTGGTGGTAAGTATTATAATTATTTAGAAACTTCAGAAGAAAAATTGTTACCTTATAATCAGTGGCTGGGATCCAAAGAGCTACTTCAGGCATAATGGAATTGTTGACTTTGAACAGTGGATTCACTTGCCACACCTCATTCTGCTTATGGAAGTGCCCTCAAGTTTTAAGTGTACTTATTATTAAATGTACGTGTGTGTTCTTTTAAGTCCTTCATGGCTAAGTATGAGAAACTAACATTAAGGCAAATAAGTTAAAAATTAAAGACGAGTTGCTATATTTCCCACGTCTGCAGGAGGAACAAGTGTTTCTAGTGCTCTTGAGTGTCCTGCCGATGAAAAAAGAACAATTGTTTCACTGGACACCTCCCAAATGGTATGTGGTTAACGTTTTCAAGCGAATTCCACAGCGTGGCAAATTGTAAAAAATAAATTAAACCTCACTAGGAGTATTTCGAAGGGTCACATAAGCAATAATCTTAAGTGGATAGAGGAGTAAAGATCTGAGCCAGGCTTTTTCATGTCCTGAGTGCAGCACTCTAACCATTATACCACACTGACTTTCTGGTGGGAATGGACTGTGTCAACATTGTCACCTGTTTTGATTGCTTATTGCTCTTTGTAAATTATTTTCAGTCTGAAAGCATGAAATCGCTTTTTAATAACATAATAATGTAGCATTGAGGGGGCAAGATAAAATATAATGCTCCTCCACAAAATCAACAGTCTTAGTTTCAGTGAACTTTGTTGCTTCTGCAGCACAAGAGACTGCTTTATACAAGACTTCACTGAAAGTCAAACTACCCAAAATCCTTTGTGCCAAACTTCTTTCCAGTTTACACATAGGACGAAATTAAAGAATACCGTGTGGCATGCTGTTGGGCTACACTCACTGATCCCAGTTCATAGTGCAGTACTTGCATCAGGTTAGCAAATAAGGTTACAAAATAAGACAAAGGAGAGAAAAAGTGAATGTTTAACATGAGCACAAGCTGTCATTTCATGTTTTAAATTTTGGCTCTAGTAGGATAAGTTAAAAAAAACTCTTCTCCTATTTTAGTATCTTTTACTACTCTGAGAATTTGGGTTTGGCATATTGTTGCCTATAAATGACCAGTGACAAATCAGTGAATTTTGGAATCTACTTTAAACTGCCAACAGCTTTACACCTGGATGGATTCCTTATTTTTTTTATAAGTCTAGCAACCTCAATTCCTAACTGACAGTTCTTGCTTTAGTTATATATTATTACAATTTTAGTTCCTGTGTGGAATATCTGTAATGCAATCCTTTGAATTGTTTATTCCTTCCCCACACTAGTCACTGACTTGGCTTGAACAACACTACAGCCCATCATTGGTTAATTAACCCTCAAAGAGCTGCAGCTTGTCACTTCTATCAAACTTGGGACTCTTTATTATTGGCTAGAGAAACAGGACTTTGCATAGATTTAAATATGCTTTTAAGTTATCATAAATGGAAAGAGAAGGGTGTGGGGGCTGACCCAGCGGGCTCGATGTTTTTGATGATGGATGTTGTTTGTAGTTTTCTTTTTGTTTTTTAAGATTATAATTTCAAATAAAACTTATTAAAAAAGAGCTGCAGCTTGTCCCAGTCACCTTTGTGAATATATAGCTCCTGAGGGATAGGGGTGCCATCACATGCAAACTTGTCTGGCAGGGAACATTTGAAGGCTAAACAACCTTTGCATAACCCATAGTCTGTTGTAGGACCATGTGAGGATTATTTAATCTTCAAACAACCTTCACTTTCCATGTTTACATGGCACACAAAAAACACTCCCAGTCAGGGGTTGCAGATTCTTAAAAATGGGGGCCAGCATACACTATAGCTTCTTCAGGATTATTAATGCAGCCTAGCCCCTTAATTAATCCATGATGGGCTTCTGTGTCATCCCTACAGTCTTACTGAATTTCCTAAACACTCTTCCTTTTGTTGAAGAATTGAAGATAATGTTTTGTTTCATGAGTGTTTTCTTTCTTTGCAATAGAACAGGATTCACTGGATAGATGAGAAAAATTTAACTGCTCATGTTGAAGCTGGCATTACTGGGCAAGATTTGGAAAGACAGGTAACTTAAGCTTCATCCTTTGAGAATGATTTGTGTTTTTCATTTGCCATCTATACATGCGGTGTTGCTACATTATTGAATTAGCTTGAATTAATCACAGGACAAATTCTTTATATTTTCCCCTCTCTACCAGTTTCAGGGTAGTTCTTGTATTCTTAATCTTTCTGTTTAAATAATACATTTCTAAGGGTTGATTAAAAATGCAAGTCCACAAGACAAAACAAGTACACACCTAAAACTAGCAAACATGGAATAAAATCCTACTTAGAGTAGATGCATTGAAATGAATGGAATTTAAGTCAGTTATTTACTGACTTAACATGAAACATCCTGCTCCAGCACCAAGGTACAGGTTTTCTTTGCATTTAAATCATTAGTAATATAATTAAGTAGTCAATTTTAATTTTGAGCTAAAGCAAGATTTGGAAAGATTTAATGTGCAAGTCTTCATTAAGAGAACTGCCAAAAATCCACAGCTTGATACTTCCATTTATTTATTTATTTATTTGTAACTTTTATATGCCGTCACCACATGCCTCGGCATGTTGGGATGGCTCACAAATGTACAATTAAAACAATAACAAATGCCATAAAATTATATAAAAATGAAAAAGCGACTGTTAACGATAAAATATTAATTTTTAAAATAGCAATTAAATTAAAAGGTTTTAACCTGGCGCTGAAAAGAATATAAACTCGGTGCCAGGCGCACCTCTCCAGGGAGCACATTCCCTAATCTGGGTGCCACTGCAGAGAAGGTCCTGCTCCAGGTAGTTGTTCTTTTTATCTCCTTTAAAGAGGGCTCCCGGAGCAGAGCCCCTCCTGCAGATCTTAAGGGGTGTGAGGGCATGTAAGGGAAGAGGCACTCCTTCAGGTATCCTGGTCCCAAGTCGTTCAGGGCTTTATAGGTTAAAACCAGCACCTTCAGGGCCCGGACTTCAACTGGAAGCCAGTGAAGCTGGTAGAGGACCGGTATTATATGAGAATAACAACCGGTCCCTGCCAGCAACCTGGCAGCTCTGTTCTGTACCAGCTGAAGTATCCGGACCGTTTTCAAGGGCAGCCCCACGTAGAGCGTGTTACAGTAATCCAACCGGGAAGTTACCAGAGCATGAATCACCATTGCTAGGCAGTGCTTGTCCAGGTAAGGGCGCAGCTGATGAATCAGATGAAGCTGTAGGAAAGCACTCCTTGCCACCGCAGCCACCTGGGATTCCAGTGACAGCTCTGGGTCAAGGAGCACTGCCAAGCTGCTACCCCATCCAGGACAAGGTCAGAGTCACTTACCTGAAACTGTGATCCGCCCACTAACAGGACTTCCGTCTTATCTGGACTGAGGCTCAGTTTATTGGCCCTCATCCAGCCCATTACCTCAGCCAGGCACAGCCACCGCCTCACCTGGAGTAGATGTAAATGAGGTAGAGCTGGGTGTCATCAGCATACTGGTGACACCACAGCTCAAACCTCCTAATGACCTCTCCCAGTGGCTTCATGTAGATGTTGAAAAGCATGGGGGACAAAATAGAGCCCTGCAGAACCCCATGGCACAACTGCCACGGCGCAGAGCTATAGTCCCCCAGCAGCACCTTCTGGAGTCGGCCAGCCAGGTAGGAGCAGAACCACTGCCAAGCAGAGCCTCCTACTCCTAACCCGGCCAGCCTATCCAGAAGGATACCATGGTTGATGGTATCAAAAGCCGCTGAGAAGTCCAGGAGAACCAACAAGGATGCACTCCCCCGTCCCTCTCTCTGGACAGGTCATTGTACGGGGCGACCAAGGAAGTTTCTGTCCCATAATCAGGTCTGAAACCGGACTGAAATGGGTCCAGATAATCTGTTTCATCTAAGAGTGTCAGGAGTTGTCCCGCCACCACCCTCTCTTAACACCTTGCCCAGGAATGGGATGTTGGCCACCAGGTCATTTTTATATAGGTATCTACTTATGAAGTGTTTTCCTATCCTATTCCTAAAATGGCCGTCTTGTCCATGTAACTGCACTTGTTTGTTTTTAATTATCAAAACATTTAATTAATTTTAATTACCTGATGCATGATATGCATTTATAATATTTATATAAACATTAATCTAGTTATGTTTCTAAAACTCGTTACTGTAATGCGTACATTACAAATCAAGCTTCCATTTTCAAAGTGGGACATTGGCCCCATCACTATCTAAAGAGTTTGAAGGCACTGTCCCACATAATTAGGTGGAGTAACTTTGCTGGATTGAGAATTTACTTATAATGTTGTACTGAATATACAGCTATAAATTAATCCAGATACTAGGAATGGAACCTTAAACTTTCTTGAGAAAATACAAAGCCTATTTACTTATTATTTCTTAACTATGTAACGTTGGCAGCAAATCAACAACTTTCTTCCCGAAATACTATTTTTTTAAAAAATCTTTCTTCTGATGCTGATAGGATTTCAGTCCCTTGACCTGGCAAATGATTCCCTTTCAGAAGTGTTCCACCTTTCTTTTGCTAATTTGGAATTGTTGGTTCTAGTTATCCTGCTGTGCACTGTTCCAGTGTTACAGGCCACTGTTGTTTAAATACTTTCTTAGAGTCCTGTTAGCATAATTTTTAGATTCTGAAATGAATGTATAAGCAGGAATTGGCAAAGCATTAGTGAAAGTAGATTCCACTTTGACATATGGTGAAATAGGTGCTACTTCTTCCATTAAGGAATAGATGTCTTTCAAGGCACTTCTGTAGCTTTTCCCCCCAAAATTATTTTTGTTGGAAACTACTAACACAGCACTTCTTGATGAGATGGCCTTTCATACTTTTTATTTTTATATCCTTTTATCATTTGATGAAGTATTTTAACCTTTCCAGAGCTGTAGGCTTTTTTGAAAGGTTAGAATTAAAATGCACAGAGCACATTCCCTTAATTTAAATGACATTTTTCCAGGCTAGTAACTTCTGATGTTTCACCAACTGCTCCATTCTTGAAATGCCGCATAATCTTTTGTCCCACCAGAATAAGGCATATTAGCGTCTTTTGCTGCATCTTCTTTCTGTAAAATGAAAAAACCAAATTCTTGGAGAATCTTCTGGATCAGAAAACATTTTTTGAATTCTGTATACTTTTTAGTTTATGTACATGCAGATCCCTGTGTACAGCATTAAAGGTAAATAGAAATTACATTCTAGCACATGAAATACAGTTCTGGAGAGTGTACACTATTCTTGTAATGAATCTTGCAGTCTTGTAGGTTTGAATACTGTCAAATGTGTAAAAGAAATGTGTTCTGCATTCTGTTCTTTATCAGCCCAGCAAATCTGTTTTGCTGGATAATGTTGTAAGTCAGGACACACTGATTCCTCTACTATGAAATGTCACAATCAGTGACCGTATGGTGATATGTAATAGAACAGCAGATACTAACACAGTTATTTAGGGGTTGTGTTTGAACAATCCAGAAAATAGGTTATTTGTCCCCAAAAGTTGCATAAGAAAACATGGAAGAGCCTTCTACCCAATGTGGCATTCTTGAATAGCCCATTTTCCCACTTTTTCTGCATAGAATATGCTTTCAGGAATAGTACATGTGACTCACAGTTGTATCTCTTGACATAAGATTTTTTTGTTTGTCAAGCCATTTCACTATGATAACTTTCTGTGACGGTATATCATTCAGACTACTTGAGGCGCTACAGATGGCAAAAGCCAAACTAATGAAGAGAAACAAAACAAGTGACAAACATGTAGGAATTCCTGCTCTGCATAACAAATACACTATGGTTTCATATTCCAGCCAAATGGTTGTATATTAGGAAAATTCTTTTTGGAGAATAACGTATGAACAGTTCAGGATTTCTACAGCCCAGTTGCAAATACCATAACAGTACCATAAAATAATGTGCTTTATTGTTAGTGAAATTGTTTAGTTGTTTTTCTTTAGCAACATTGACCCCATTGGCACCTAACATTATCCCACAGTTTATTTAAACCATGAATTGTCCTAACCAAGGTTTGTCTATCAGACAGACAAATTGTGCTTTGTTTTCTCAGTCCTGAGTTGTTTCTCTTTCCTTTGTCAATTCCTTTCATGTAACCCAACTGTATATGCAGCACTGTAGTTTTAAGATGTAGAGAGGATGGCCACTCTTGTATCCTTAACCTGCTGAAAGAACCCACAAACAATTTAAAATGCTTTGCAAGTATCATCAACCCATAATTACATAAAGTTTTGTCATTATGACTACCTTAAGCATGAGTTGTTGAATTATAGGTGGTTGTTGAATGGGGGGATTACATGCAAATTCTCTACCATGATTTAACCTTGAGTTTTTAACAACAATTAAAAATTGAGTTATCCAAACACCGTGACTGGGTTACTTAGTTTTTACATAACAGTTTGGTCAGAGTTTGGATGTCATGCTCCACAACCTATGAAGGATCTGATCGTGGTTTGTGAATTTGGAAAATGTAGGCATGCAGTAGGTAGCGTGTCCGCTCTTTCCCAGTTGTGACAAATCATTGATTTTTAAACTGATGCGTGATTGGTAAATACATATCAGGAGATACCCTGATTATTATTACATGTGAATGCAATTACTGTGTTCTATAGAATTTTCTTTACAGTTTTGTAAGCATGGTTATAAATAAGGCCAGATTTTACAGGTATGCTTAAGGCATACTGCTTTATACCTTCAGTTCACATCATGTTTTTTTCCTGTTCTTTGCCTTCATGCAAATATTTCCTATGTACATGTCACTACATAGTCTTCAACAGTTTCAGTATGAGCTGCATAGATACACACAGAATTCTTGCAGCAAACTTTTGTGACTGCAGGCGCTTTGGTACTGAAAGATGATTACATGGAGAAAACTGATTAGCAAAAATTACTGTATACCACCATAGAATAGCTGTGTTAATCAAAGTCACTTAGAAACAAATGTAATTATATTGGTCAAAGATAGCAGTATCTACTATCTGCTGATAGTTAAGTGTGCATTTACAAAACTAAATTTTGCAGTGAAAGTTGAATGCTCTTTAAAAACTGTTACAAATAATGGCTTATTCTATCTTATGTTTAGCTGGGTGATAGTGGTTACTGTACGGGCCATGAACCCGATTCAATGGAATTCAGTACCCTTGGAGGATGGGTGGCAACACGAGCATCTGGCATGAAAAAGAATATTTATGGGAACATTGAGGACCTGGTAAACTTCTTCATAGTTTTTAAAATTTCTTTCTAGTATTCCAGCAAGTGATCTTGCTACAGCCTGTCAGTACTTAGTATTGTTCCTCATGTTTTGCTCAGTAATAGAAAACATTAGCTGTTCTGAGATATCAAAAATAGTTTTGAAATTTTTTTTGCATAATGCAGCACTTAAGCTTTAAATGTTGGATAAAATTACCTTTTGAATAGAGAATGATACAAATATTAAAGGCAGGTAAATTATTTGTACCATCTTTTGTCTACCCCACACTCTTTTGGGGTTTGGTGCAAATGAATTAAGGGAGGTAGTTGGGTTTTTTTATTATAATACACTAAGCTTCTGTGTCAGCTTATTTTGGAGTGTTTTAGTGGCTTCTAGCAGTGGTAAATTTCAGTATAGACTAAGGATGCTTTATTGATTTGATATATTAGCATGCTTTTATATATTTCCATTTATTTGTAACTGAGACTATTCTATTTTATACAGGTGGTTCATATAAAAATGGTAACCCCAAGAGGTGTAATACAAAAAAGCTGTCAAGGACCACGTATGTCAACAGGACCTGACATCCATCATTTCATTTTAGGGTCTGAAGGTATAATTAAAGTAGAATCGCAGCGTTTGTTTGAGAACCTCTGGAATCTCCATCACTAACACAGAACTTTCTTAGACCTTCCCTTAAGGAACAAGGCCTCTTCTTTCTGTGCATCTGACTATCATTCATCTTTCATACCATGCAGCAGTAGACCTGTGTGATGTGCCACAACAGTCAATATTTATAAGACACCACTATATTTTCTTGGGGCAGTGATAAATTGATGCTGCCTTTTAGTTAATTCTGTTTCTAATGGATGTTAGGTTGTAATCCTAAACACACTTACTAGGAAGTAAGCCCCGTGAAGATGAAGACTTCTAAATAAACATGCACTGGATTATGCTGTTTTGGCTGCCTCTCAGTTTTATTGCTTGTCTTCAGTGCAATTATAATGGCCTAGACTTTGATATCTAGAATTTGTGCCCTTAATTCCATTCATTTTCTCATTTTGGTTTTTTTTTTTTTGCTTCTTGACAATCTCCAAAGCATCCCAGTGGCTTCAAGAACGTTGCAAAACACCTTTAGTCTATTATGCTCCCAATGCATATGCCTAGTATTGAGAATGTAAGACATACAAATAAGCATGCTCACTCTTAAAGCTTTGTTAGATAATTCAAATTTAACCATTCTATCATGGCTAAAACTTGTCTTTTGGTCAGAAAAGGACTGTTTTTACATGAGTTAACTAAGGCAGTGCCAGGAAGATTTTACCTGAGAAAGACTGATGCCCAAGTAGAAGCAAAACCAAAGCTGCTGCACATGCAGGATTGAGGGAAGGAGAAATTCTCATCATACCAGTACATGTCTGCTCATGCAGTCTTGCATACTGCCCAGTCTTGCAACCCCTTTCTCCAGTTCTGGTTTATCTCTCTCAAGACATGACTTTGTTAATTTTCTTAAACATATCTGATATCTTAATTCAGTCAATGTATTTGGTGTCTTCCTGATGTTGGCTGAAATTAACTATTCAGCAATTTTGGAACATAAGAGGCAACATCTCTTAACTGTGAGCACCTTCATATGGTTTCTGCTCATTTGTGTGACCCTTCCGCCCTTTAGGTCTGGATGGCACTCTTCCATTTGTTCCCCAGTCACATGCACCCTTGCTCACTTTTTTCCATGACAAAATTGGACATCTCTCCTTTGTATCTTGATATCCATTCTTTTTATAGACATGAACTATAGCACCCAGTAATAATATTACAAATAATTTTTAGATGCTTTGCTTGATATTCAGCCATGCTAACTAATAGCTTTCAGTACTGATTCTGGGAAAGCACATCTGCAGAAAATATCCAGTATACCAAATGCTTTGACAATTATATGGTTAGACTTCTCATGTTAAGTCTCAGTTATAACTGTCTCTGTACCAGGATCTTAAATATTGCATTTTAATGTTAAGAAAACTGATCCTGCAGTGGTGTATAGTTAGTTAAAACTCTATGATTTAATATTTCAAACTGAGATATTTCTGCAATTAGAAGCCAAATTCTCATCATTTGAGTAATATTGTATTAACCATTCAGAGGTTCAGGTATAGGAAATACATAAAACTGAATTAAACTCCCATGTGGTGTTCAAAGTTAATTTAAGAGAAATGATTTCAGGTGGGTGGAAGGTACAAGGATTCTGGCCTTTGCCTACAAAATAACATCTTGTAGCTCTTTCAGCTGCAGTGCCAAAATGAGTATTTTTCTCTTTTTGTAAAGGAACCCTTGGAGTGGTAACAGAAGTTACGATAAAAATTCGACCAGTTCCTGAATATCAAAAATATGGCTCTGTAGTATTTCCAAACTTTGAAAGAGGGGTTGCCTGTTTAAGAGAAGTAGCAAAGCAGGTAAAGTAACCTTATCTTCAAGTTGTATTTCATTGCACTTTAAAAGAAATAGCAGTATCCAGATGCCTTCACTAGATGGCATGCTAATGCTCTGCTCCACTTACTTCTTTGAAGCTAAGACATGTGCTAAAGGGGAAGTGTCCTATGCAGCCTCTTGTAGATGGCTAAATTTAATATTAAAATCTTGCATTTCTGTGGGTTGCATTCCTGATACTTTAAAAGAGAGAGAGAAACTTTTCTATCCTGTTGGTTTAAATACACTGAATTGGATTCAGACCTAGTCATAACTTAAAGTACACACATTGAAATCATTAGGACTTAAGTTAGCCATACTTAAATGCCATTCAGTTCAGTGGATTTGTTCTAGAAAAATCTAGATCCATCCTATTTTCTACACAAAAAATGGTATTGCCAGCATCCTATATATCTTTCAATCTGTGCCAGTTAAAGTATGAAATGTGACTATTCCCAAACGTCTCCTTTCTCTTGGAGTTCTTGGGCTGGTGAAAGCAGCAAGTTGATGAGGTGGCATCAGAAGTTGGGTAGATGTAAAATCAAGAGTTATCTTTAAAGCACAGTTCTTGTATCACTGAAATGCAAGCAGAATATTTTGGATGAAACGTGCTATTTTACTACTGTTGACGGGTTAGCTTGAATACTGGAGTTAAAGAATTGCCTCATTTTGTGTCAGTGTTGTACCTGAAGTTGTAGCAGGATATATAGGAAATTTTCCCTGTGTAGCTGAACAGAAAAAATATTGCCATCTTTACAAAAGAGTTGCACTTATTACACCCAAGGGCAGAATGCCACTCAATCTTTTAATCTCATTTTGGTGTATTGAACAGTATCACAAACATAAGGAGATATGTAATGTTTGATGGAGGGGGGATAAAGAGGGGAAGGGGATGTTAACAAATGCTGAAATTTGGAAGAGGTGTTGTTTCTACCATTAAATTCAATTAAGTCATTATTATAAAAGCAAAATAATTTGATAGATTTGTGACACATGAAATCAAGAGATTCAGGATTGTTAATGGAACAAACAAGCCAGAGTTAACCCATGGTTTGTTGTTAATCTAACTCAGGCTTGGTTAACCCATATACATACCTGAACTTTCAGGTTTGCATATCATGAAAACAGCCAAGAACAGGACATTCTTGGGTTGTTATGTAAAAGCTGGAAAGGCTTTTGCACTCTGCTTGTTCCTGGCAGTTCCTAGATTAAATGCAAGAATTGCTGCTGTTAGAGGTGAACCAAGTCATAGAGCAAGTCTATATCATGTTGATAAATGGAAGGAAGGCACTTCTGAAAGGTGTTGCTATAATTCCTCACTGATTTCTGCCACTTCCTGCGCCAGTTCCCACTGCACATTCCATACTGCTCCATGACCCACAGGAATGGCTTTTCAGGGGAATAAAGGTTGCCGCAGTGGAGAGGAATGGGCCAGAAATACCATTGTAGGACAGAAAGACTATGAAGGCATCTCTGAATCAACACAATTCTTATTTGTAAAGACTAACATATTTTATCCTTCCTTTTATCTGTTCCCTAGCCCTCTTATATTCTTCTGTCACTGAAATCTTCCATCAGTCATCTATTCTGTTTTCTTTCCATGGTTTTTCTGTTATTTCCCCTTTGCAAAATTATTAGTACCTGGGTTCCTGCTGTTATACCAAAGGGCATGCATATCTGTCTGCACATCTTTACCTGTTTATACAAGCTGTATGCAATTCTTTGGACATCTTTTGGGCAATGTACATGTTTTTAAAGCTAGAGACTTCAGAAACCTTCCTAAGTAAAACTTCTTTCCCAGAAAAATTGTGAATTTCTGTTTTTTCTGGTTACTGACACTGTTAAATCTAACTTTTTCTATCATGTTGTGACATTATCAATGGCCTTCTTCAGTCATAAGGGCAACTTTCAACCAGGCTTGCTGGTTGCTCATGAGCTACTTCCAGTGTCCAACGTTCTACAATATTGCATTCATAACTTGTTTCCATGATGTCCAAACCTGAGCGTTCAATGTTCTTTGTAAGTTTACCCAAAAGCAAACCATAGCTTTAATACTACGCTACAAAAATACTTGTTTCCATGCTGTATTTTCCATTGGTATTTTGTATTCTTATGTAACTTGTCTGTTTATAGCGATGTGCTCCTGCATCTATTCGCCTCATGGACAATGAACAGTTTCAGTTTGGTAAGTTTTACTAATTTTATTCAGGGTTAGTGTTTTTAAGCATTAACTGATCTTGATAGCAGGAATCTCTTAACCAAGTTTAAGGAACTGGAAAGGGGACACAAGAATGCATGCCTCATTCTTCCCAGAGTCATTTCCCATATACCAGTTCTGCCCCCATCCCTGCCCTGTGCCTCATGCCAGTAAGGATGGTTCAGTGTTATAGCCAAAGTCCAGAAATGAAATGACTAGACCTAAAAGGGGCCTTGAGCTGATGCTTCTTGAACAACAGCATTCTGTGGTTCTTAGCGAACTGCTTTCAAAATGAGGTAACTTTCCTGCTGTCATAAGTCAGAAATTCCATTTTGGGCCTGCCCAAGTAGGTCTTTAGATGGTGAGTTATGTCTTCATTGATGCTAGACTTGACTGATTCCAGTGCTGCATTTTTAGGGTTTAGAGGGAGGGAATACATAATCAGCAATTTATTTCTAATTCCTTAACATGATTAAGGGATTCCTGTCTTTTGTGCCTTTGATCACAGATTATAAACGGACATATACTGATATTTTGGCTTGGCATGCACAATGAGAATAAGCTGTTTATTTAATAAGTGCTTTATTTAATTTAAGAAGTATGCTAGGTGTGTGTTGGGTATGATTTGAATAATCGCCACCTGAGTGCAGCTTATGTCCACTGAACCCCCAGCAGCATGGCTTGTTGGAGGCGACAGAACTTTGCAAGAATCATTGGCTGTTGCATGATTGGAAGCTTGTTTCACCTTCCTAAAAGCCATGCTGCCTTGATTTAGATGACAAAAAATCCATGCCCAGACAGTGATTATTCAAATTGTGTGTAGCACATGCTGTGATTTAAATAAGCCTTTTTTGAAGGTGCAAGCTGGCTCCTTATCCAGTTATTTTGCTTGCCTTATTCTGCCTCCAGATCCTTAAGTAGTTTATAAAACATGTTAATACTGTTAAAATTATCTGACAAAATTAGGATTGCTATATTGAGTTATTTGTTAATCAGTTAAAATACTGACATCAAATAAGGGATACGTTCTAAAACAAACAACACATTTAATAAAAGTAAGGAGAAAATTATGTCTAAGATGATATATGCACCTTATAAAAATAGAATAAGCTTAGTTCTCCAACACAAGTGGCTTATTCAAATGAAAATTTCTGTACGTTTTGGGTGTAATCCTATGCATGTTTTGACAGAAGAAAGTCCCAGAGAGGCTAGCTGGGGAGTTGTCGTGCTCTTTTCTTTTAAAACATGTATAGAATTGTGCCCTTAATTAAAACTCATAATTTATCTATGAGCACTTTATAGTTTGTTTAAGTTTGTCACCCAGTTAAAGAACAAATACACCAAAAAGCAAACCTTAATCATTATAGCTAGTTCGTCCAAAAGCTTATGGGTCTAATCAACACCTTGTGAGTTGAATATCTTTTAGTAATACTTCTCATTTGTTAGTTTGCTCTCTTACTTGATAAATTCAGAGTCCTTTTGGAATATAAAGTAGATTGAATAAACACATTTTTGGCTGACAATTAGCAGACTAGAGTTGTATTGGTTACTGTTCATATACCTTTTATGGTTTGTCCTCACAGTAGAAGGTGGTAGCAGCAAGCAAGAAAAGTTTCCTGGTGTGCTCATATGATGGCTGCCAGGTTTCATGGGAAAAAGCTCAATCTCAATTCAGCCCTGACAGGAAAGCAAGATAGTACAAACCAAAAGTGATATGTGATTGGGTAAAAATCTCAGTATTTCTACTGAGGCACCTCTGAAGCAGAAGGAGTTGTGATAGCTCTTAATCTGAAATAACCAGAAAGCATTTAGGGGAAAAGAAGATGCTCCACAATAACAATTTTGGTTTATACCTCTATTAATTTTTATATAAAATGGTCTCTAAAGGAATGTTTATTTCATTTCTGTACTGCCCAATAGTCAGCTTTCTGGGCAGTTCACAATGAAAACTGTAAAATACAACATGATAAAATATGATATAAGCATCCAAGACTACAATAGCCCTAATACAGTGCAATAGATTTAAGAGAACAGAAGACTGTGGGACTAAAATTCAAGGGAAAAGTGCTTTTCACCTACCACTGGAATGAGTACAATATAGGTGACAGGTGATCCTGTTCATTCCACAGTAGCGGTGCCACAACAAAAAAAGTCTCTCTTCTTAATAGCCACCCAGCAGTCTCTGTTTGACAGGGGGTTCTCCAGAAGGTCCCAAGCCTTTTAGTACTTTTAATACCAGCACTTGGAATCCGGTTAAGACATGGACTGGCAGAGAGTGCAAAGGTTAAAGTGCTGACCCAAAATGATCACATTGGCCAGTCCTTCTTTATAATCTGACTGCCCTGTTTTGGACCAGCTGAAGTTTCTGGACTGTTTTCAAAGGCAATCTCATGTACAACACATTGCAGTAATGCAGACGAGAGGCTTTCGGAGCATGGCTGACCGGAGCTAGGCCATCTCCATCTAGATAAGGATTTACTTAGTATTTCAGCCTAAGCAGGTAAAAAGTGCTCCATGCCACTGACAATGCTGGATCCAAGAGCATCCTCAAACTATAAACCTGATCCTTTAGAGAGAGTTTAGCCCCCTCTAGAACGAGTTGAATATCTCTTAGCTAGACAAATGAAACACTAAGAGTAGCTTCTTGTCATCTGAGTCTGTATTGGCTGTTATCCCTACCATTGTTGCATCTAGGCTCCAATTTAAAACAGCCACTGCCTCAGTTGGATTTGATGAAAAGGAAAGTTAGAACTCAGTGTCATCCATGTGTTGGTAGCACCAGCCCACACCTCTGTAGTACCTCGCCCAGCAGTTTCATGTAGATGTAGAAGAGATCCCCGTGGTATCCCATAGCCAAGCTACCAAAGCATAGAGCAGTGATCCTCCCAGCACCACCTTCTGGACATCCAGGCAGTAGAACCACTGCAATACAGTATCTCCAACTCCCAGCCTATACACCCTGTCCAGAAAGATACTATGGTCAATGGTACTGAAAACCACCAAGAAGCAAAAGGCTCACACTACACTTGTCTCTCCCTTTTTTTGATCACAGCGATACATGGTAATCAAATTCAGGCTCTGGCTATACATTACACAATGTTTTGTATAATCAGAAATGCATAGAGGCTTTTGCATGAAGGTTAACAGACTGCTTCTTAAACTTTGTGTATTGCTGTCCATGATTAACAAGAAGCATGAACAGACTTTCTGAAAAACAGGAAATGGGTGACTGTGGAGGTTTCTCAGCTTTTTAGGCAGGCGCCCATTCTTCATTCCTTGATAAAATATGTGGAAAACAGTTCTGTTAATTTGCAGTAGAAGCCAGATGTACATGATGCTGTCCGTAAAACTGATGATGCCACCCAAAAAGGCTAATAGCGGCTTTCAGCTTTTAAAAGCCCTGGGAGTTTGGTTTTTTTTTTTTTTTAAATCTGTTAACTTTAAATACATGAACATGGAAGTGGCATTTAAACAAAAACAGATAATCCACCAGAGCAGTGGGAAAAGTAGGAATTTGGGGACTAAATTAGTGTTGGAACTGGAAGCATATAGCCATGTCATTTCCAGTGTCGAGGTGGGAGAAGGTAGCCCAGCGAATCACATGCCTCTGTGTTTGTAGCACATCTGTGTGCATCCAAAGAATGAAACTATATGGTTGTTCTTAGTTTGCAAGATTGGCATTTGCTTAATTTCCTTAAATTGCTATTAATTATGTACTGGAAATGTGTATTGTTAGGAAGTAGAACACTCAATAGTAAACAAATGTTTTAAGCTCAACCCTTTCAATCATTCCCTGATTAAAAGTCTGAACTTTTAATATTGCTTTGTCTTACAAATTTCTTTCTCCATCCCCCTGCCAAGGACATGCTCTTAAACCACAGGTTGCTTCCATTTTTACATCACTTTTGGATGGGTTGAAAAAATTCTACATCACAAAGGTATTTAATTTTAGTCTCAATATTATCAGATACAAATTTTAAAAGGTTTTGACTCATTCTTTCACATTCTTTTGAAGCAAGGTGGTACTGTAGAAAATGTGAATTACCTCTTTTTATCTCCCTTCCCCCTTCCTAATTCCTGAATTCATATTGTACCTAGCTCCGACTCAGTAAAAAGAAAAAGTATTTGACTGCTGTGAAATTTCAGTCCTTTCTATAAAACCATCTTTTGTACTAATGTTTATCAGATTTGGTTTGAATGCTTGCATTCAAAGGCAAAGTAGGAAATTATGCACCGATAGGGAAGAGCAGGTTCCAGGTGTGATGCCTCTGGGCCCTTTTAGTTCAGAGTAGCGCAGAGTAAGTAGTGAAAGAGAAGTGTGAAGTCTATCACACTGTTTTAATGTTGTTGATTTTAGTTGTGTTTTGATGCATGTGTTTTATAACTGCTTTAATCAAGTTTATTATTATAAGCATTTTTATTGTTAAAAATGTAGAATACAAATAAAAAGAAAATAGAACAGTCTTCCCCAATCTGGTGCTCTCCAGGGTTTTAAACTAGCATTCCTGACCATGATGCTAGGTCTGATGGGAATTGAAGTCTAAAAGGTTGGGGGGAATCAGTTGGGATCAGTTTTTATGTGAGAAAATCCTACATACATCTGAATGTGGGTTCTCCTAAGTCTGTCAGAAAGATCCTGTGGATCTGCTCTGAAGGAAGAGAAGCATCTCAACCCCAGCATCTGCTCCTAGTGATTGTTTCTTAGTATGCCCCAATTAAATTTAGCAGCCAAAGCAAAACAGCTGGAATTAAGAATTTCAGAGTCAAATTAATTTCATTGTCTTCAGAGGATAAATGTTGAGTCCTTATCAGAAGCCTCCATATGGCATTGATGTATAAAGTTAAATGATGGCAGAATATAACATGATGGATGTTTACAACACTTCAGCTATGGATATTTTTCGTTTCTGAATTTTTAGACTTGCTTGACAACAACATCTTAAGTAACAAACTTCTAAATGTGTGCCATTTCACTTTGAAATGTGCTTCTTGTATAAGCACTTAGATAACATCTCTAAAAGAAGTCACTAAAGATGCAATTAAAAGGGGGGTAGCTATATTTGGAGGTTGTATAAGGGAGATGGGGGCAAATGTTAGTGTTGCTATATAGCATTTATACCTTGTCTTTTTTCCTCTTCTGATGTGGCTTTTACATAGCTCCGTTTGATCCTCATAAGAACCACCTGGTGAGATAGTCTAGCTTGAGTGAGCAACTGGCCCAAAATCACTCAGTCAGCTTCATGGCTGAGGAAGGACCAGCACCTGGATCTTCCAGGTCCCTAGTCAAACACTCAGCACCACAATGTGGAGACTTATGTATGACAGTGCCCTTTTATGGGCAGAATAACTTCAAATCTTAGTGAAGGATAACAACATACACACATACGTGAAATGAAGGCCCAAAAGAGGTTTTAATATCTTTAAAATATTATTCTCCAAGTGACTGATTATTCAGTTTTCAGTATGTTGACTAGTAAGTAATATTTTGTAAGTAATGATAACTAAATCTTAGTAATCAAAGCATTAGTGTCTATATGCTAGATGCTCAAAGACTAAAGTGCCAGAATATTGCCCAATATTAAGTTTGTGCTGACTGGCACATTTCCCCATCTCCAGCACTTCTCCTGTCCTTCATGACTCTGAAATGGCACCTGAAGCAGCTGCTGGCTGTAGTCTGTGAGATTCGTTGAGCATTTTTGAAGAATGGATGATCGTGCTAGGTGACTGGAGAGGAGCAGATGCTATTTTAAAAACAGGGATGAGGATGAGGCATGGGATTTCATTGCAAAGGCAATGGTGAGGAGAGGTAACATGACCTTGCAGCCTGGATTGTATGCAAATATCCTGCAATAGCAGAATGTGTGCATCATCTTCAGTCTGTTATATGTCTGAATAAACCCTGCAGTTGTATTAACTCAGACTGGGTGCATCAACACATACTATAGATCAAGGGAATAAGTATTTATTCTTAAATAAAGTGTCCTCATTAATCAAACACTAGTGTTTTTATGTATGTCTGTTACTGCTTAGCATATTCCAAGAGAAAATATAAACTTCATTCAAAACATGGGCTGAAACAGGAGCAGAATTGTGATCAGAATTACTCCTGATCAGAAGCAGGCATCCTACCCAAAGAATAAGTTGACAGTCTGCTTTATATTACCAGCATCATCACCTAAAATGCTTCTGTATCTGCCTTTGTGGCATCATATTGTACTTAACAAAAGTACCTACTGAAAATGAATATATTGTAAATGACCTAACTGTGGTAGATAAACTGAAATAAATGGTGGCCTGTGTGTTAACAAAACGTAATGGAAATGCCCTTCTTTTTACAGTTCAAAGGGTTTGATCCCCATCTTTTATGTGTTGCTACCTTACTTTTTGAAGGAGACAGAGAGAAGGTCCTTCAGCATGAAAAACAAGTGTATGATATTGCTTCAAAATTTGGGTATGATTTTTGAAAGCTTCATATTTTATATTTAATGGTGTCCTAAAGTCAAATATGTTTGTGGAGTTGAACTAAGAAGTAGACATTTATGAATACTGTTGGTAAAACTGTGGTTTCTCAGTAATAGTGGGCTATTTCAAAAATTGAGAATGAAATCATAAAAACTTAACTAAAAAAATTCATTACTCAGTTTGTGGAATTGCAGCTGAAATATGACATTCAAAGTACCTGAATTTGCTTTAGCATATACTTTTGCAGGGACTGACAGACTTCTCCATGATCCAACTAGAGCCATTGCTATTTAAAAGCTTTAATTTTTCAGCTTCTCTCTAAGGAAAGTGACTTTGTGACACTAAACAAACAAGCCTTAGCACAATAAGGTAGAACAGTGTTTGGTAGATTAAAGTATAATACTGTGCCTTATTGACTAGAACTGTGACTCAAGCAAGCTTGTTTTAAAAAGGAAATTGTCTTTAATCAACAGAACTTGATTAATTATATGTACCCCACCTCCTGTCACTGATTACTCTGTGCTGTTACAGAGAAACAAAAAGCATTTCACTTTAATAACAAGCTGAGTAATGATGGGATGGTTTGTGTCCATCTGGTTTGATTGATTACAAGACTGGTCAATGAAACCATGGTGAAGGTATTTGTCTGGGTCACAACTTTATTTCCCATTTAAACAAATTATTAGTGAGATTTGTTTACAGTGGTCATTTCCATCAGACCTTTTGCAAATGCTAATTCTCCTTCATGGGTTCACTAACTTTGCATTGGATTCAGCACTTACAAGGTTTACCTTCCCAGTTTTATACATTGCTATCCTATATAAAGATCAAAATGTCCTTTCAGAAAGGCAGTAAATACAGATGTTAAGCAGGAGAAAGAGAAGGGAGTACAGTATCTTCTGAGATATAGAAACTATCTGGATATTAATAAGCAGTTAATAAGAGTTTTGCAGTTAAAATTTAGAAGTTGCCCTACCATATTTTTAGAAGCTTTCCTACTGCACATTTTTGTTCTATTATACTTTTTTGTGTCTTCTGGTCTTGAAGTTTGACCATAAGGAGGGAGCTAGGATAGACAACCACTGTTGTCTTTTAGAACTACTAATTCAAAAGGCAGATTTATTTAATTAATAAATTTATATCCCACCTTTCTGCAAAAAAGGTGTTTAAAGTAGTTGACAATAAAATTCAGTTTGAAAACAAACTCTTCACTCTAATTCTTGATAGTCTAGCAAAGGAACTCAAAGCCAGGCATACAGCAAGTACCTGTTTTCCTGGCACTTTCTGTGTCTCTGTTCATTCTCAGTCTTCAAGGGGAACCGAAAGGGAGAGCAACATAGTCAAGAATCCTGCTATGCTCCCTGGAGCAGTGGCTGTCCATAAATAGCTGTGATCATGGCAGACTACCTGTCTTGGTTGTTGTTAGTATATTGCATTACAGTTATGCCCTACCTTTCTTCCTCTCGCAAGGAACCCAAGGTGGATTACAAGGTTCTCCGCCTCCCCATTTCATCCTCACCACAACAACCTTGTGAGATGGGTTGGACTGAGAGTCTGTGATGGACTCAGAGTCATTCAGTGAGCTCCATGGCAGGGTAGGGACTAGAACCCTGATCTTCCAGGCCCATAGACCAACATTCTAGCCATTATATCGTCCTGGCACAATTGGCTTTGAGTTCTGTCCTCTAAGTGGCAGTGTAAGGTATAAGAAACTTTAATCGTTAGTGGTGGCCTGTTCAAACCCACTCTGTCTAGACAAGCAGCACACCTCTGAGGGCATCCACTACATGGAAACATGCCTGTACCAAACAGCATGTTATCATGCTGCTTGCACAGAAGTGTACTGCACCAGAGATCTGAGTTGAAGTGCTGCCTTTTTTCCATTTGTACTCTTATGGGATTTGATTTCAGGCTGTAACTAAAAGTTTCGTGGAGAATACAATACTTTTTCACTGCTATATGCTAGGTAAAAGGTAGGCAACTTGGTGCCTTTCAGATAATTTGGACTTCATCTGCCACAATTCTTGACCATTGCCCCTGCTGGCTGGGGCTTATGAGACTTGTAGCCCATAATATCTGGAAGGTATCAGGCGTCTGTCTCATGTCATCTGCACCTTGCTGAACAGCATTGTCTGCATCTTGATGTCAAATTGCAAGTCTCTTTAACTCTTGCCTGTATATTTTAGCTCCCTAGGTGGGATGGTATTCTTGTATAGGGTTTTTTAAAAACCTGTTATATTATTTTAATAATTGGTTGTTGGTGAACCATTCTGAGGGCAATGTACTGAGGAAACGGTATATGGAAATTTTTAATACATTTATGAAAACTGATTTATGAATGGAAGTCACCCAAAAGCTCAATCAAATCTATGCTTTTTGTGTGCTTCTTTTTGTTTTTTAAGCCCAGGAATGCACAGGAATCTAGTTGGTAGTCATCTTTAAATGTAGCTGATCAGATTGATTTCCATTGATATTTGATCTTAAATCTGTTGTATTATACTTTCTTATATAAGACTTCAAGTCTTATATTAGACTTGCTCTCAACTTGTCTCGTTGAGAGCAAGTCTGAACTGACTTTCTGAATGAAAGTGCTTACTTAACTAGCTATTCCACAACTAATCATACAAGTATTTGAACTGTCAAATCAGTTTGGACACTTTTGAAAGGACTCTGCTTGAATTTTGCAGTTGGGAGCATCTTGCTTTGAATTCCTTTCCTAAAAGAACATTACTGTTCATGAGTTGAAAAGAAAATACAGCATGAGAAACAGTTTTCATCAGATTTTATATAAAGATCTTCAGTAAGATTAATTTTGACAAATTAATGATAAATTGTAATTTATAATAGGACCTAATGTAAAATGTCTTCATGCTCAAAACAAGCTGTGTAAGCTGTTGCTGGTTGTGTCACTTTAAACTGCTCAAAGGAGTAGGTAATACATTCCCAATCAGTAGAAAACAGGGTGTATTTAGCTAATACAGATAGGGATTGTTTTCTGGTACTCCTGCAGTAGTAAGCACTGTTAAAATGACTGAAAAATCAATGTACAAAAGTATTAACCTTGGTTATTGGTGGTAGCTACAGTGGTACCTTGGCTCACACACGCCTCAGTTCACAACCAAATCGGGTCGCAAACAGAAATTTCAGAAAAATTTTGCCTCAGTTCACAAACTCCACATTAGGTGACAACCACGATGGTGGCCCTGCTGCCACATGAACATGATTGCGATCGTGCCCGTCCCCCCCCCCCCGAGCACAAGCATGCCCATCTTCCCTGCATGAGCACGATCGCCATCATGCCCATCCCCCCCATGCCCGATTGCTATCGCACGATTATCATTTGAACTCTTCCTCCAAACAATAACCTTCCCCCCACCTAGGATGGTGTTCTCTATTGTACTGTACTTTGTTGTTCTTCGTTACTTTGTTTCAAATTTTTGTGATAAAACGTTTACAGAATGGATTAACTTTATTTACATTGAACTTTATGGGGAAATTTGACTTGGCTCGTGACCAATTTGAGTTGTGACCAGAGTCCTGGAATGGATTAAGTTCGTGAGCTGAGGTACCACTGTATATGGAGACTGTAACTGTGCTATATAAAGAAATATTTAAATAGGAATTTGGGGGGAATTGTTTTGTATTTATTGAATTTGTTTGTAAGCCGTCCGGAGATGCATAATGATTGGACAGGTTAGAAATATCCCAAATAAATAAATAGTAACTTTTGCCTTTAAGTGTTTAAAACAGCTGTGCTAATAGATATATGGGGGTTATATTTCTGCTATGCAGAGATGTCCTAGACTGGCCCTTGCATTAATATTTCTCCAGTAAATGTATCTCTACTAAAATGTAAAGTTCACAGATCTAAAATACATTCCATGTTGTTTCTCTCCTCATGTATCTTTTGGTATAGAGAAGTATTTCAAGAAGCTGTTTCCCTTGGTTTGTTACAGATGCTAAGCATAGCAAAACTTGAGATTTCCACAAAACTGATCAACGTTGTGTATGGCTTGACATTTGAGAATTTTCTCACTACTTCATTCTTCTGTCAGCTTTTCAAAAGTATGCAATTTGAACATTATTGAATTTCATACTGAACTTAGCTGGCTTATCTAAATTCTTGAACTGAAGCATTTTTGCTGTAAACCATTTTACACCCTGTGATGATTATATGCTATCCTCAAATTTCAGTGGCCTGGCAGCTGGAGAAGACAATGGGCAGAGAGGGTATATGCTAACATTTGTCATTGCTTACATTCGGGTAAGTCCTTTAAAAAAAACAAACCAACATTTAAATACGTAATTTATTTTTCCTTAAATGTTATGTGGGCACATGTCTGAAAGAACACATGTGAAAATAATGTGTTGCATTCTGTTAGGAGAATCTCCCATGTTTAACTGTTTCAAGAGCTCCTGTAGATAGAAAACATGCAACCTGGGTGGTTTTGCTTTGTGGAATTTATATAGCTGTACAGCTTTTCTATAAGTCATGCACAGGCAGTGACAAATGATGTAGTCAGCTTTGGGTGGTGTGGTGGGGGGACTGATTCCATCGATATCCTCACTTTCCCTGTTCCTCTCTCTCCTGGCTGAGCTCGATCATCTGTAGATAGAGAACTGTTGCCCCTGTTACTCTGGTGGAGGAGTGGGGGGGGGTCTCTTTTCCAAAGGGGTTTAGACAGACTCCAGGATCTTTGGTTTATTTGTGTTGGATTGGAGCCTTAGAAATTGAAGGAGAGGCACCTTTATTTGCTAGAAATTACCTAGATTACTGATTCTTAGGTTCACTTAAGATGCTTTGAAAAATAAAGGTTTCTATGAATTTAAAACATTGCTCTAACAAGTTAGGCTTCCTGCTATGTTCGTGAGCATTATTGCTGTGCCCCCCATTTGCTTCCTTGTAATCAGTCTCATGTAGTAACAGCTTTTTCTGTGCATCTTGAATCCACTTATACCCAATGAAAATATACCTTGTACAGAGAGGCAAACAGCAGCTTTGTGCTTTTGTAGAAATCACTGCTTTAGGTGTGTCCTCCTGATTAAGAGGCCATGTTCCAATCAGAGATTCATGCTGAAATGGGGATCTTCTAAGGATAGGGTAATTCTTGTTGATGCATGCTTATTTGCAAATAATGTGTGCAAACAATACGGCTCCTGGTGCAAACTAGTTAACATGCCTCTAATTTTTGATTCAAAAAGTGTCTCAGCTTTGAAAAGTTGGAACTGAAAAGCAACTGCAAGAATTTCTCTCTGCAAAAAATATATCCAAACACATACAGGACACAGTGAACTTTGCCTTTCCTCTCATAGCTGCTTGTGCTGTTCAAAATATACTCAAGAGCAGATGTGGGGTGGGTAGGTTTGCAGGCAGAAAAGGAAATCCACTCCAGTTATTGATCAAGTTTTCCACCATGTTGTCTTTTAGACCCCCGATACAGAAGCTCAGCTCTGCCTCTGAAAAAAGGGGACCCATAAACAACTCAGAGTTGCAGTGATTTGGCAAGAAAGACTGGATTTAGAATGGGTTTTCAAACTGTTAAATTTCACACATTTCCATGGAGAAATGGGAACTTCCTTACCAAATGTTTGTGTTCTTAAAAGAAAGAAAATGAAGTAATTAAGCACACTCAAAATAGACTTAAGGATAATAGAACACTCACAAGATTGATATTTGCTCAGTAGCCAGTTTATCCATTGAAATCCACATCATAATTATTGACCTGGTATCAGTAATACCAAATGATTGGTATTGATGGTATTATCAATAATACCAAATTATTGGAATCAATCAATGATTGATTTGGTATCAGTAAAAATAAGGAGTATCATCTCAATATTGTAAAGTAGGAAAAAGTCACTTTTCCTGATCAAAAAAGTAGACAACTCAAGCCAACTTATAAGAATTAAATTTTATTTTAATATTTCAACATAACTCTAAAAAAGAAAGCATGCACCTGTACAGATTTAAATTTCTCAGTACTGCTTAATGTATATGAAAGCTGTATATGAAAATATAGCCTTCTGTGAATTAAACATAAACTTGAACAAAGGCAGACCAAATATCCATATATATGGTCATTCAGAAAAGGTATCTGTATATCATACTAAAACTTTCTTAGGTCCTCAGTTCTGTGCATTGTAAGAAGTGAATGTTTATCCTTCCAATGCCTTAATATCTGTCTTTTAGCTATCAAAATGGCATGGAAAATCTGTTTGCATAGAGTAAGCCTTAACTCCCAGAAAGCAAGTAGCTAATTTAAAATATTTGTGCATCATTAAATATTCCAGAATGTTCCAGTACAAAATTTATCCATATAATAACCAGCCCTTGCAAATGAGGCAGCACTTGGGCACTGCCAGCATGGTTAAAAGAAGCATTACCTGTGCAAGCCTTATTAAAAAGTCTTTGTGGCATCTGGGAAACATGGAACAAAAGTTTTTGTGAGTACAATGTCACAGCCCTAGGCATTTTAGACACAACTAAAATGGTGACCATTGATAAGGTGAATGGTACCATCCACTTCCCTCTTCCACTCATGCTTAACAGCCTGTGTATCTTATTTTTTCACATGTAGCAAGATTTCTGCACATGAATTGTGGGGCAGTATAACTGATCAGCCTTAATAAGTGCTTCCTGTAGTGAAGGAGACTACCTAATACAAAATTCTAACCCAAAAATCTATCAGAAATTACTAGTGGAAAGCTGATATCACTTAGTGACTGGATTCAGAGAACACAACAATCCTTTAGGACTGAAAAGCTATGGTAGATTGTCATGTTATGCAAACCTGGACCACTTCCTGCAATGTGGCCTTATTTAAGGACAACAACAATGTATGGCTTGTTCTTTGGGTTGTTGAACCCACAACAGGTTGTTGTGTCATCCAAACCTGGGTGACTGACCCCATTGAGTGTTATGGGAAACACCTAGCAAGCTGCTTAGGAAGCAAAAATCTCGTGCTGAGCTAACCCAGGCCAGTGCCAGCCCCTCTACCAATGCCCAAGCAGCACAGTGGAGCAGCCTTACTGGCTAAATGCCCTCCACTGTGATAGCAAAGCTTTCTGTGCTTGCTGAGGGCTTCCCCCCACCTGGTGCTTTCTTGGTGATCACTTTTCACAATCTCTGATTTGACTGTTAATGACAGCCTCTTCAATGTGACCAAACAGGACACTGGAGGGGTGGTGCTGATTTGTCATTCCATTTTTTTAAAGTACAAAATATGCAAATATGTTTGATCATTTTTTTTTAAAGTTGGACTAGCACAAAGACACATTCCTCACCTGGGCAGTGTCCTGGGGGTGTCTGCTGTCAGAAGAGCAGCAAGGACTTCCTGGGGGCGTTGACCCAGAGAAGCTGCAAAGAGGATTAGTACTCCTTTTGCTTTACAGCTGCCAGGAGCTGGATGGCCAAGAGAAATGAAGGCCGCAGGTGTTTCTGCTTGTGGAGGGGATGGCCAGTTGATTACCCCCTTCACACCCAAATCCTCCAGAGGGTGCTTGTGGACTTGATTCATGCAGAGCTTCTTATGCTTTCCTACCCTGTCCTGAGAATCTAGGTCCTTGGGAAGTTGGAAGAGTGTGAGCTACCCCTGTTGCAGCAGCACGGAGCTTTGACAAGTAGCTGTCAAGATTCTGGTTACTTTTAAGGGGGCTTGCAGGGCATTGTTTTTGGGCCTTTTATGGACATGGATAAAAGCATACGCACTTTGTTCAAAAAACAGAAAAAGAACCTGTCAAAAAACACCCAGGGAAGGACCGCTGGTGAGCCCAGTTGCCTCTTGAGTGCACAGTTGCTTGTTTCATGAACGACCCACCCTGTATAGTTTATTCACCCAGTGAAATAAAAAAATAAATTTCCAATGAATTTGACAAAGGCTTTTCAGTGTTCTGAGGAACTATGGGTGTTATAAACTAATGGTTTATAGTTCTTTTTCCATTTCTACCATATGTATTATACAAAAACTTGTAGTAGTGCTTAGAGTGTTGGGCTCAGATTCAAGAGTTCTGTGTCCGATTCCCACTCAGCCATCAAGTTCACTGGGTGACTAGGCCAGTCACTCACTCTGCTAAACCTGCCTTGCAGGGCTGTTTGTTGTGAGTAGAAAAATTGAGAGAAAGAGGAGGAGAACAACATTAATCAATGTGGTTACATCTGTAGGAAAGGTATGCATCATATCTTTATTAGCTCATCTTTAACAACTGAAAAAACACTGCAGTATTTTTGCTATTTAAGATGATGTGCCAGTATTTTACCTGGATGGTCAACATTTTTCCTATTATGCTTGTCATAAACAGGTTTAAGGCAAATTCTACCTACTGTGAAAGAATAGTATTCAACTCATGTTTAACATTCTGCAATTCCTGATAAAGTTATGTCATCAGGAAAATGGTAAACTGGGTGTTATAAGATTGCAATACCTTATTTGGCTATATTTGTTTCATTGCTTAAAATTCTTACAGGAGATACAGGCAATAAATTGGTCCTATATAAAAGCTTTACTGGTCTCCGACTTGATAGTGAAAGAATCAACAGCACCCTCATTAATTTTGAAATAACAGAATAATTCGGAATAAAAACAGAAATCTGATTTTTAAACACCTTTTAATTAAGAAGTAAAACATTAAAGCACCAGATAGTGTTGTAAAACCTTATTAAACCACCCTTTGGCTATTGGGTGGTATAGAAGTTGAAGAAGAGAAAGTCCCCACTGACAATCAAATAAAAATGAGTGCTATCAATGAATTCACAAAAACATTCATAAAACAACCAGAGAATAATGATTTGCCCTATATTCATTATTCATAGCAATTTTATCAATATACTTTCCAACCAGAATAAAAAAAAACCCACCAACAGCTTCAAAACTGTCCTATTGAATTGAAATTAACTGCTTATGAATTAAAAGAACAGCATTCTAAACCATGAAGTATCTGTTACATAGAGATCTCTGCCCCTGCTTTTTCTCAACAAATGGTCATATGCAATCATCATGTGGGTTTCTCGTCAATCAGCTTTGAACCAAGTAAAAATAAATACTTTGTGTGTGATGCCTAAAGGGTGAGAAGCTCCATGACTAAAGTAATTGGTAGGAATTAACAAACTTAGCAGAGGTCTCTGTGCTACGTCCTGTTGACAAATGTAACTTGTCAAAAGTGCAGATGGATAAGCTCAAATGTTTTCGGTGTCTTAATTATATGCAGTAACAGTCTGAACTCCAAGCTTACAGATAATACTAATCTGAAACTTTTCTGATCTCTTTGATAGGACTTGGGCATGGATTATTATATAATAGGAGAATCATTTGAGACATCTGTTCCCTGGGATAGGTAAAAGCCATGCATTTTCTGTTCAGTTAAACTTAATTTTCTTATGATCTACCCCCTGTGAATTTGTTTTTTTGCTTTTTGCCCAGATTTTTTTTCTAGGCTTGATTATTGTAAACCATAGAAGTAGATTTCATATTTGGATTATTGTTAGATAAAATGACTGAGTTGGATCAACTTTGCCGTCCATGAACCAAAAGATTCCTTTGATCCAGATCCTGCTGGCAAAAGTGGAGATGGCAAAACTCTCCTTCCCATCCATAAGTAGGAGAATTCCCTAAGCAGAACTCTGTTCAGGGAGTGTTGCTAGCAGCAGGGGCAAAGTCTGGATTCAAGCTATGTAATTTTGGTTAAGAACAAATTATGAAAATAAAGCTTTATAGTTAACTTCTCAAACTTATTAAATAAATAGCTGCATCTATTTGTACTGTTTTCTGAAAACTATCCAATTCTAGTCCTATTGTTAGCCCTATTTCACTAGGAGTTGTCTTGGAGTTGATCCTATACCACATGCATAATTTGACATTTAACATGTTCCAAATGTAATTATCATGTCCTGCATGCATAAACTTGAAGACAGTTTGCTAAATTGGAACTGTCATTTGTGATAAGATATTTAGACATTAGAGATATATTATTTTTTTTAATCTTTCAAAGATATGATGGCTTTAAAGCATCAAATGTGGGTTCAGTCATTGAAAGTATTTCTTACCAACTTGCAATCTCTGTTTGTCCCTGCCCAGCTCACCATGTGCAGTAGTATTTATATACCTGGTCTGCATCACACAACAATCCACCATGGGTAACCAGCCATAGTGAGTTGCTGTGTCACCGAAACCCAGTGTGGTTTCTGCAGAGTGGTTTATTCTTCATGAGCAAGCCACCCTGAGAGCCCATGGCTTGTTCTAGGGGTCATTCAGTTGTTTTGTTGTCCAAACTTGGCTTTAGTTATGGGTCTTTGGGAAATGCTATGGAACCACTCAGCGAGGGCAGCAGACACCCCTGTGCCGTGCTTGCATGATCTCACCTGTGAATGCTCTTCCAACAAAACTGAAATGGCATTTTGAAAGACTGTCACTTGTTCATCAGCATTTTTCCCCAGAGCCTCAAAATGTGCAAACCTTTGGGTAGTAGGGATGTTTTTGGCTTCTAAAAATTGTTGGCCCTTCACAGTGCACACGTACATTTTGAAGGCCAACTGAAACAAGGTGAGACTCTATATAGGCTAATTTTCACACAGTTGCTAGAGATAAGGGCAAAATGTAGAGGAAAGTGCATCAAAAGGGGGTGGGGACATTATAAACAACTTGACAAAGAAATATCTCAATTTCATATGTGGAACTTAGAGTTTTCAATGTCATCCACCCTTTCAGCAATTCCCCAGTTCTGCAGCTACTCCATATAAGGGATTTATTAACTCCTCCCCTTTTGTAACAGTTGTTGAAGATGTGCACCTTTCTACTTTATTTCCCAGCCCTTAAATTGTCACAAATTCCCCTTCATTCACCTCTTTGTTATTCAGTTTGCATATACTTCTGTGGGTGGAGGAAGATTAGAACTCTCATGGAACCATATAACAGCAGCAGTAAGAAGCTGCAAACCAGTGGGAAGCCAGTATTTTCCCTTTCTGGATTGGCTGGGGAATCAGCAAAGTGTTGAAAAGGTGGCAGGGGAGGAAAGCTGTCCATTAAACAATTAAAATTGAGAGGATTGCATTTCTAAAGGGATGATATTGCCACCACCTTCTTTTGGTGTCTTCCTGCCCCATTTTTACCGGCACATTTCAGTTGGCAGCTAGGCTGAGTGGGAAGGAAGGGGAGAACAACCCATGGTGAGCCCAGTCATTTGTCATGCACACTGTGGATTGTTTAGCAAGCAATCAAAGCAACATGGCTTGTTTGCAGGGTAGCTCAGTATGATGTGGTAAGCCTCCCATCACATCTGTGTGCACAATATTGGCTGCAGCAGAACAGAACACATCAAACAGGAGAGAAGAGTAATCAACGGGGGAATCTGAATGACAGAACTGACAATATAGTGCTGTTGGGTAAATGAATGTAATTGAGGACAAATCCATGATAAAGGTGGACATATTAAGGGGAAAAGGAGAAATGTGTCAAAGCTGTGTTCAGGGTACACTTATTCCATCAAGAGATCAGTCTGGAGTATTGCATGTAATTTTGTAATGCACTTTTCACTCGTAACTTCAGCCATTTTCCTTCTGAATTGAAAGTATTAGTCTATCTAAACTATATTCTATTTGAATTCTATTAAACATTTGGTTTCATTTTTTTAGCAAGTGGTTTTATCTATCCTTAAACAGAATGTAAATCACAAAAAATCCTAATAATCTATGCTCAGTAATCTACACTCTGATAATTCTAATCAGATTACCACAATGCATTCTGTATGGGACTGTCCTTAAAGACTGCTCAGAAGCTCCAGTTTGTGCAAAGTGCAGCAGCCAAATTAACAATTGACGCAAGAAGATACAAACATATAACAGCAGTTCTGTCCTGCTTTACTGGCTGCCTATGTGTTTCCAAGCCCAATTCATTTGCTGGTTTTAATCTATATAGCCCTAAACAGCTTGAGATCACAATACCTGATAGACCACCTCTTCTGACCTCAATATACCCAGAACCTCCTCTGAGTGCCACCTCTAAGGGAAGCCTAGAAAGAGGCAACAAGGAAGAAGACCTCAGTAGTGGCCCCCCAATTATGAAATGATCTCCCCACTAAGACCCACCTGGTGCCAACATTGTCATCTTTTTGGCATCATGTTAAAATTGCCCTCTTTCATGGCACATGTTGAAATAATACCAGTTGTTTTAATCAGATCTAGTTTTATTGAAATTGTTTTAGAGCTTAAACTTTTAAAAATTTTGTATATGGAAATTCTAAATTGTTTTAAATTTGTATACTTTTATTTGTATTTGTATTTTTATTGTATGTCTCTGTCTGTCTCATTACTTTAGAGTTCTAGACCTGTGCAGCAATGTAAAAGAAAGAATAGTAAAAGAATGCAAAGAAAAGGGTGTTCAGTTTCCACCTTTTGCTACCTGTCGGTAAGGCATTTTAGATTAAATTGAGTTGTGGCGTTAACTGAAATTTAGTTTGCTGTGGTACATGTATGTAGTGAAAACTTCTATAACTTACTTTAATCAGTATACGTTTGCAACAGTAAACAGTGCTGACTTTCTTTTGGTGGAAAATGGTTGAGTCCAGAGCTTGAGCCTGGCTTTGGCAGCATGCTATCCGATGGACACCACCCACCCTTTCCAACTGGGCATGCCACCACTTCCCCCTTTTCTCTTTGGACTACAAGGAAGTTGAGGGAGTCATTTGGGGTCCAACCCTGCCGCCACTGAGAGACAGCCCCTGCAGCAGTAGCTGCAACGCTGAGTAACTGAATGGTTATCCCTTAGTCTCCTGATGATGCTAACCCCACGATTAACCCACTTGGGCATGTAGACACATCACAACTTTATGTATGCCAGGATATGTCGCATTTTTTAGACTCTGCATGTTTGGGACTGAGGTTCTTAAACACTAATTCATAAGATGCATCCAGTAATGATGATATGACATCCTGGTGGTCTTACCTTATATAAATACAAAGCTAAGCTGGGGCTCTGGACACATTTGGCTGGTTAAGGAAATATCCAAGATATGCTAACTGGACCATAGTATGTGTTGTGGCATTGGTGAAGCAGGTGAAGCAATATAACAGCAGTGGTGTTTTTTTTCCTTGGGTGTCTGATAATAACCATGGGGAAACCACCACAAAGCAGAACCCAACAACAGATCATGGGTTCTCTCATGGGTTGTTTATGGTTAACAGCCAATAGTCCTGGTTGTATACCTAGTAAAGTTGTTGCATTTTTCCTGCTGGTCCTGTATCAGAAATGTGCAATTAGACTTTCAATATATATGCTGTGTTCCATTATAGAACCTTATATTGTTCTTTTTCAGGTGGTCACAAAGAAGTGTGTATTGTGTTCAGAAATTGTACTTTTTTTAATAAACAGGGTAACACAGACCTATGATGCAGGTGCATGTGTCTATTTCTATTTGGGCTTTAACTACAGAGGAATAAGTGACCCTATTCGTGTTTATGAAGAAATAGAGGTAATTATACCAGTTTATAGCTTTCATGTTACTGAAAAGTAGATAATTACCTAGACCAGTTCATTCTGCTGTCCTGGACCTATTATAAATCTGACTCAAGTAGTATGGTAGCAGCTGATAATGGCATGCATGCAGGTGGGGTCCATGAAACCACCATCACGACTGTCCCATGCAAATTCCCCACAGCGTCCTTCCCCAACCTGATCAACTGCAGATTTTTCAACCACATGTGATCATCCCCACTGACCATCTGTCATGCTGGCTACGAGGCTGATGAGAATTCTAGTCCCAAACACCTGGAAGATACCAGGCTGGGGAAGGTATAAGTCCTCTAGTATAAGTCCTCTAGTCTCTTAGTTTTGGGGCCAAATTCCATTTTGGAGAAACTTTTGGAGAACTTTTTCCAGTGGTTTGTGTGGCTGAAGGCAAAAGAAATTCAGAAGTACAAAAAATACTGGAAATATTAAAGAGAAGCAGTTCTATGCACAATTACTTGGGATGGGGGAGGGCCCGGGGAAGAGGAATTGCCATCAGGGGACACCAGATGGCCTGATTTTGCTCCAGGCCTGAAGTTCCACAGCTCTGTCTTGTACTGGAGGCAGCCCTATAGCTGATTCCCTGTTGACAGCTGTGGTGGTAGCCTTAAGAATTGAATCTTAAGCCATCACATTTTAAGTTTGTACACAATCTCCAGAATGCTTTTCAGATCTTTTGGTGTGAATTCTTGCAACCTGTGTATACTCACTTCTCAGCTGTAGAAGGAGTAACTCAGGTCCATGGGAAATAGATTGCAAGTTAGGCAGTGTTTTAGCAGTATTATATTTTTTACATTATAAAATTACATTTATGCCCTACCTTTTTTCCTCTTTTGAGGAACCTGAGGCGGCTTACATAGTTCCACTTGATTCTCACAACAACAGCAGCATGTGAAGTAGCTTAGGCCGAGAGGGGCTAACTGGCGCAAAGTCACCCAGTGAGCTTCATGGCCAAGTGGGGACTAGAAGCAACACTCTTACCACCACACCAGCTCACTTCTGGTCAAATGCTGATTCCAGCAAAAACTCTAGTAATTGAATTAAATACGGGCATTTTGAGGTGATGATGTTAATACTTGTTTTTATAAATCAGTTATATGTAAAAATCCAGTATCATGTAAGCAGTCTTCCATTTGTAAAATGGAGCTTCCCCTCCTTTTCTCCTTACGAGTTCCATACAAGTCCTCTGCAGCAGACTTGATGGATTCCTCCACAGCACAAGAATCATTATAAAGGACAGCCTCCATATCCCTTTAGAGCAAATTTTCAGTTCATGCAGGGTGGGGAGGGAGAATTTCCCATCCACTTTCTGCTGATGGAAGCCATTCTGTGAGTAGGAGGGGCAAATTCAACTTTGCCACCAGTTGTGGTTCTTTGGCTTTTAGAGTGTTTGCTTTCTTATTACTTATGTACCAGCTTCATTATACACAATTTTCTTGCTCTCTTACCCTCATTGATTCTTTCAACCTTCAATCAGCTTATCTGCTTAGTGGGCCAATTCACACAGTCAAACACACTTATTCAAATCAATGCCATGTGCCAGTTAGTAGAAATTTTGGAAGCTGTAAGCAGAGTATTATCCTGTAATTTTGTAAATAATATTGGTATTAATTGATATATGTTAGTGCTAAAATGAGTGAAAGGTATGTAGTATCTTGCCTGCTTCATGGAGATTTAGTACAGTGAATAATTTTATTACTTCACTTCTTTAGATGGCAGCTAGGGAAGAAATCCTTGCTAACGGAGGAAGCTTATCACATCATCATGGAGGTAATATTTCTAGTCTCATTTACTTAATTTGTAGTACCACACCTTCATCAATATTCATTTGTATTGAATGCTGGTAAACCAAATTTAGTATTTCTGCACTACTGACTTTTAATGGAAAGCTTTCCTGGGGTTCACATTATGAACGGGACTTTAAGATTTCGACTTGGGCAACAAATGCTTGCAAAAATTAACTATTCATTTGCTCCCCCTACAACAACCACAAAATCTGCCACCATTACACAGTTGTTTCCAAGCCTTACTCTTCCCTATAAGATAGAATGGTTGTCTTTCACTATAAAGGAGAAAGTAAAAAGGTACTCTTTGAGTCCCCCAGTGGAATGGATGCTAACCTTATTCCCTGCTCAGTGACCCCAACGATGAAAAATTACCCTTGCTCCTGCCTGCCTGTCATCTGGGTTTCTGCTGGTCTTGTTAAGTGTGGTAGAATTTTAGGAGTGTGGGGAAGCGTTTGTAAGTTTTATAAAGGCACAATGAAATAACTTCTAAAAAAGAGAGCTCCTTTTAAGGGCTTAAATGGCTGAACTAACATCAGAGAGAAAAAGGACCTCTGCTGCAAACATGGTTCAAGAGGCTATTGATTTAAAAAACAAAACAGGACTTCCATATCAGGAAATGGATCAGGATCTCTGTTTCCGATGTTTTCTGGATGCAATATGAAATACTAGTTCAAGTGCTAATTGGCATTAGTCTCCCTCCTTTCTAATGCTGCATCCTAACTAAATCTGTTAAAAGCTGCCACATGATGGTTCCCCATCTCAGTGAGTGACTTAATATATTCAAGCCTTCCTGACAACCTACACAGAAACACACACCCTCCCTCTCTAAGTATATATGGACTCGATGCCTATCAGTATGGTTGGCAAAGGCTGTCAGGGAGACCCTGCCATGCATCTGTAATGGCTTTTGGCAGAAAGGGTTCCCAGAGGCACTGGAACCATTCTTAACTGCCCTAAAGCTGCAGCATCAAGCTTCATGCTTGTCGTTGAGAGGTCCTGGCTCCACTGTCCCTTCAGGTCTGCACATGTCCTCTGGAATTGGGAGCCCCACAAGCCAAATACACAGTGTGACCAGCTGCCAAAAGCCAGGCAATTGTCTGGTATATGTTTGAGAGCCATTAGGATAACACAAGACTTACTTTATTTAGGCAGAGTTTTCACTGCTGGAACTATGATTGGAAATGTTTGGAAATATTTCTACAATAAATGTGTATTGCAGTGCAGAAATATTTCTTGTCCTGTGCCTACGGATACAACTGAACTGAAATTTAACAAATGAATATGGAATGTAATCCTGCTTCAATGTCAGAGTGTATGAAAACACTGCTATTCACAGAATTACTTTCCCTGGCATAGGACTTCATGCTGCAGCTTATAAAACAAGCTTTTATTGTATGTTTTTCTGTTTTGCCAAAGGCGTTTCTATGGTAATCCCATCTAATACTGTGTGTTAAATTTCTATTGTGAATCTTAAGTTTCTTCCTGAGATAGTTTAATTCTAAGCAGTAAATTCTATTATTATTATTATTATTATTATTATTATTATTATTATTATTTACTGACCTTCAGGCCTTGCCATGACATTCTTAGCACTGCTTTTTAGTTCCTGTGTGGGGAAGGGAGAATATTGATGCAATTCCTCTTCAGTGTTTGCCCTATAATTGTGATTAATAATGGTTGCTTTCACTATCTGGAAACAGACAGCCTGGTTTGTCTGCCTACAACAATGTTGTGATAAATGGAGCTATTTTAACTCTGGTTTTGTGTATCAAACAAAACAGATGTAGTCTGGGACTTGAGGCTATATGGAATATAAAGCCTGTTTGACTCAGCCTTCATAGAGTTTGTTGTGCTAAGGAAGAACCTGGACAGTTTATATCAACAGAGTTTTCTCTTGAAACCTAAATAGCTGCAATTTGTGTAAGCTGTAGGAGTGGTTGCTCTTTGGGAACAGCTCTTTTCCTGAGTTCAAGTCGTGAGAAGCAGCTCCATGTCACAAATAACAAGTCTGGCACATTGATCATTCCAGGTTCTGCATTGGCAAGCCCCTCCCATCATCACTGTTGCCTCTTGCTGGTATCAATATGCAGTGTTTCGATGAAGCATGCTTCAAGGCTGAAGGGTTTTGATGACGCTTATATGAGCAAACCTGCCAGTTTATTTTATGCAGAGTGTAATGAAGAAGTAGCTGGACAATATGGGGGCAACTCAGAAAGTTTTGCTGCTTGATATTAGGAAGAGCCTTGTGCCTCCATTCTCCTCCTCGAAATCCCAGTAGAGGAGCTGACCTGAGCCAGCCTACAGTGCTGGAGGCAGGAGAGTGTTCTGTTCCACGCCTGAACATGGAAGGCTAGCTTTGGGCATGGCATACACAACTCTGTCCTCCAGCACCTCAGTGTGACTCCCACCATTTGCTGCTTGAGGCACCCACTTCATCCTGCCTCATGCTAAGGGCCAGCCCTGGGAGGAGATGGAGCACCTTTTTAGCTGATGATCCCACTCAACTGATTTGCACATACAAGATGGAGGTTTAAAAACCCTTTCTTCTTAACTGCTAGGCAATGAGCATATGGACTAATTTAAGAAATGCTGGCCGTGGATGTTGCAGTTGCAGTGAGTTTGGAAGTTCCAAGAGCCACTTGGTATGGTATTTCAAGAGCAGCTTGGTATGTCATCTGTGTAGGTCAGCAGATGATCAAGTGGTGGGACAAACCAGTAGAAGAAAGTAGTACAGTAAAGAGATGCCTACAGGTAAACATAGTGCAGCTTTCATGATGATGTGATGTTCACTAGTATTTTTTAAAGTATCATAGAATAGTAGAGTTGGAAGGGGAAAAGAAGGCCATTGGGTCCAACCCCATGCTGTTGCAGGACACCAGTTTACACCATCCCACTCAGATGGATGTCCAGTTTCTTTTTGAAAGTTGCTAGTGTGGGAGAGCCCACCACCTTTCTAGGCAACTGGTTCCAGTTGCACTGCCAGTGAGGAAGCTTTTCCTGATGTCCAGCCTGAATCTGGGTTGTCGCAACTTGACTTGATTATTCCGTATCCTACATTCTGGTATCAGTGAGTAGAGATCTTGACCTTCCTCTTTGTGACTGCCTTTCAAGTACTGATAGAGTGCTATCATGTTCCTCTTCAGCCTTCTCTTCTCAAGACTGAACATACAGGGTTCTCTCAGTCTCCCCTTACAGGACAGTGTTTCCAAACCCTGGATCATCTTTGTTGCTTGTAGGCAGAATGTATTTGCAAGATGGAAGCAAACCAGGATTAATGGCCCACAGTGCAATGCCTTCTGTGGAACATGTGTGTGTATCACTCCCTGACTGCAACCTCAAGTGATCCGGAGGTGTGAAACATGGCAAACATCACAGAAAATGCACACTAGATTGTGCACTGCAGTATTCCTATATTTACTATATGATGAGACATGGATTTGTGCAATCAGGCAGTGCATCCTATAATGTCAGATAGTCGGGCTGTGTACTTCTTTCTTAAGGAAAATAAGGTTGGGCTTGCAGTTTTTATGGGAAACTTTGATTAGTCATACTAGCAGCAACAACTTGTCTGTGTGCCTCACACACCCTCAGACTACAAATGGGTTAACTTTTTTATCAGATATGCTCCAAAAGGACCACCAATGTCCTCTGTACAGCTTTTTTTTTCTTTCTGGTTCGCTAATCAAATGTATGTTAGATTTATTATTGCAAAAGTATAAAGCATAGAAAATGTGACAAGATAGATGTGTAAATTATCACTCTGACAGAACTAATGATGCACTCCAAGCACCTTCTGTTTTCAAGCACTTGGTGAGCGACTTCATTAAATATGCAATTGCTGTTTGGTGGCTGCTCAGACATCAGTTCAGTCCCGCACGGAATTGCATTATTACTGGAGGTGGGGAAAAGGCAGGCGTGCTAGCTGTTGGACATCCTGCTGCGGCTTTAATGTGCTCCATCTTGTTGGACCAGTTGTTTTCAGTCTTGTTGAGACAATTACATCCATAACCACAGGATATATTCACTCAAACAATATTACAGATAATAGTGGATAATAGCACAGACTATTCATTGTCTCTTTAGCTCTAGCTGAAGTGTAGGTGGCTAGAATGGAGAAAGCTCCTTGAAATCCCAGTTTTAAACTGGTCAAATAGATTGGAATAGGGGGATAAGATTATGGGAAAATGCTTGTTTCTCTCTAGTTAAGCATGCAGTTTCATATCCTAATACAGCCTTCCCCAACCTTGAGCTCTCCAGATGCTTTGTATATCAACTCCCATCAACCCCAGCCAACATGGCTAAGGCTATGGATCATGGGAGATGTAGTCTAAACCTTCTGAAGGACATCATGTTGAAAGATTCATAATAGAGCAGGAAACACATAAAAGAACAAGCCAGGCTGATTACCTATTTGTTACCATATGGGGTATGAAGCCAAAGTATTGCGACAACACATAAGGCTTCTCCTGAAATTCCAGTCTGCGCTGGAGAAAACAGTCCTGTTTCCTTTTCAGTCAGCTCTGTGAGAAGGTTGCATTCTTCAGGGAGAAGAAACCAAAATACTCTGTTCTCTATTTGGTATTCCCATTATTCATTATTACAGTGACATTTTAGCTATGCTGAGAATGGACCACTCAAGGTAGGCTGAATATAGCTACAAGGTTTTCAAGAGGCAGATGCTGTGGCTTGTCACCTTTTACAAATGCATCATTCTTTGCATTGAAACTCCAAATACAATAGGTACTTGGCTTGATGCATATGGTCAAGAATTAAATAGTTGTCACTTAATGGCTATTAATTAACCAACTGATCATTTATGTTAAATCAGTACTTTTCCATGTGACTATTGTAAATTGCCAGCAGAATCAGAAAGCTGAGTTTGCATTCATATTTGTAATTATCTAGAATTTAGTAAGTTGTGTGAAGGTAGTAGCCACTGTCAGGGTCATCTTGAGGATGTGACAATGCAGGCCTTTTGTGCTTGCTCAGAAGTAAACTCTATTGCATTTGGAGGGGTTTATTTCCAGGTGTAGATACAGGATTGTCATCTAAACTCATGAGCAGCAAACTTGCTTTCTTTAGCCTCTCCCTTTAACACATAACTGCATCCGAGCTGTGAGTTCCATTTTTTAAACTCAGCATTACGAACCTCTTTGTATAAAAATCCAACTTATGTAAATAAAATTTGAAAACACTTATGTGTACAACTGGTGTTGGTGTGTCCTATTGAGATGATTTGAATACATGTAACTTCAGTTTAATTATTTTTAATGTGGCACATCATCTTGGTTTAAACTTTATCTAAATTTCATACTTTATAAAGAGTAGGCAGTGTGGAACACAGGCTTCCTCTGGGAGTACATTGAGCTTAATGAGCTTGATAGTCTAGTGGGCTCAATAAATCAAATAAAGCAAAACATTTCTCATTTTTGAATAAAAGCATTTATCACCCAGTGTTTGTTCATTCATGGTCACAAGATTGATTGGCTCCTGCTATTATGGTGCATATTAAAGACTCTCCCTTTTTTGTGCTTTTTTTTCTAGTGGGCAAGTTACGGAAACAGTGGCTGAAAGAGAGCGTCTCTGATGTTGGCCTTGGGATGCTGAAATCTGTCAAACAGTTTGTGGACCCCAATAACATCTTTGGAAATGGGAACCTTTTGTAAACCTCCTTACTGTCCAAATCAAAATTACAAAAAATAATGTGTCCCATGGTTATCCCAGTATCTGAACATAGCATGGACCCAGCTTCAAAGCTGTTTCCTTCCTCACATCTTTTATTTGTTCAGTTAAAATTAGCACCCATTTAATCATTACAAATCTTAACAGAATACTGCTAAACCTTTGACACACAACCAGTCTGAAGTATACTAAATTCAGTCCAGTCGATAACCTGTTTGGATGCCTTCCCTTCTGCGGTTCAAGAATGTCCAAGAGTGACACTAATGTTTTTGTTTTAGGAGTCCCTCTTGATAGAAAAGCATGTCTGGGAAGCACATGAAAAATGGGATTATATTTTGATAAAGTAAGCTTGTCTGTTGAAAGGTTAAGCAAATAGAGAAGGAATGTCATGCTGCAGTTTTCAAAAAATCCAGCAGTTTTGTGGTGGGAATGCTTTGCTAGTCTCCTCTATCTGATATAATTGAAAACATTACTTAATAGAACTATTGTCTAAATTGCATTTGTAGTAGTACTAATTAATACCCTCAACAAATTTTAATGACTCAGAAGGTCACACAATTCTTTTTGGATATTGGAAAATCTGTTACATAAAATGTTAATGGTGTCATACTTTTGTCCTGCTAGACTGCATTTCTGTAAAATGCAGCAATTCTCAGGCAAAAAATGCAGGCCTGCTTGTTTTTCCAAAAGCGTAATACAAAGTTTCGGGTATTTCAAAACTTCTAAATTATCTTTTTTATTTACTAGGCATACGAGTAATCATTTTTCTGCATAAATAAAATGTCAGACTTCTAAAAATATCAGTGAACATTAGACTGAAATGTATATTAAAACATAATTTTAACACCATTTATCAATATGTTTTGGGGTGATCAGAGGCTTTTATGACATTTCAATGGTTTAGAATGTTAATTTGGTACTGCCTGTCCTTTAGCTAGTTTGTACCCATGGGCTGGATCCAGCATTTCTTTCCTTCCACAGTAGGTGTTCCCTGAGTGATGTTTTCTCAGAATGCTCCTCCCGTGAAGTATGGCGAGTCCCACCTCCCTCTTGCCCCAGAGAGCCCCTGACCTTCCAGAGGGGATTTTTGGAGTCTCCAGGGGGCTGCAGGGGAATTCCTTTATGATCAGGAGCTTTGCATAGACAGAAGGAACTCCTCCATCCATGGAGACAAAGTCTGGATCCATCCCCTGTTTGGTTTTTTAAAAAATACATACTTCAAAGTTTAACTAATTTCAATGGAATTAAATTACTTAAAACATGAATTAGGCCCATACTAACTCAGCATTCTAAATCTATGAAGGTTGCATATATCTTGTTGCAGAATAGCTTTAAGCAAAAATATCTAAAATGATGACATGCAAACTTCTTGTAACTTTCATTTTGCTGTTTATAATGAATGCAAAGTTTTAATATGGTAATTAAACATACTACACTGATCTGACTGCTAAAACCTTAATTTCTACATTAAATTTTATCCCACTGTGTTTTTACTGGACACCAATTTAAAGCAGTATATGGTCAAATCTTAAATGTCCTGATATCCTGAAAAGCACCTTTAAAAATGCACAACATCACATCTCAGTGACTCACACTTTGCTGATCTTAAACCAAAAACATGACTGCAATCCAGATAGCCCCTTTTAAATTTAACCTGCATGAGTAAAAGAAAATTGCAGTGCATTTAGCAGAAATAACTCTTTGAGCCAAAGTCTGTGCCCCAGTAAGCATTATGGGTAAAATCCAACTAGTTTCTCTGTGCAGACAGAAGACTTCCATCAATGGAAGAGGAAAGGGTCATATTTTCCCCTCCATGCAGAACCTCATCCAATCTGCTCTGGAGGGTCCTCCAACCAGGACAGATTTGGGCATGGCTCTTTCTGTCAGCAGAGGAAGACTACTTGGATTCCATCTTAGCACTCAGCACATCACCACTTTGTAATGTTTTGACCATGTATGCGGTATCATTTATCAATACCAATGTAGTTTCTTACTCAAATACAGGGATATTTCAGTTTTAAAAGAAATAAGTTGTTTTCATGTGCCTAATAAGCACCAAATCTAGGAACAAATGTGTGTTTCAGGGAATAAAATTGCCTTTTTGATAGCATCAAAGCAAACGTTGAACTTCCCGGTTGTTTTGCTTGTTCTTACCAAGTTTGTGCTATCTCCAAAATGTGTAGGCTCAATATGTATGGTGCTTAATTTATTTACTTTACTGATTGAATTTTCTTAACCCTTTGTTACTGGAAATTGCACAGAGAAATGCCCTCTGGAGATATTTTTCATAAATTTACTGATAACAAGGCATGTTCAAATCATGACGTATAAACTTTGTGTCATTTTCTGCCCCATCAAAAGACTGGGGAGTGGGTTGCAAAAGTGGACAGGCTTGAGGAAAAAGACACAATACAGATAACTGTGAACATATTGTAAATTGCGTTACTTATGTCTATTTTGCTAAACCTTGTTTCTTCTCTTTTCTTTTTTTAAATGGTTAAATTGTTCAGAGCACTAACAAGAGCACCTGTAAAACATGCACAAGCTGAATGCTAGTTCAAAAAAGTGAGATGCTCATTAAAAATACAAATTTACCACAAGGAATGCTATTGGCTGTGTTTTTGTGCCACAGGATAACAACAGGATAAAAAAGTAATTATGAAGGATACGATGTTAATTTTAATGTAATGCTGAATTAGATCACTCATTTCACTACAGTTGCAGTTACTCTAAGCTGTTCATTCTTCAACAGGCTTTGAAAGGGGCTGAGTACACAGCCATCGAATTGCCAAGACTCTTCTGGCTTTTGGGACTGGCTGGTGGGGAAAACCTTCTGGAGTACCATCCAGCATGGTGCCACAGTCTTCCAGAAGTTAAAATAGTGGCAGGCAGGGAATCATTTTAGGCATGCAGATGTGTTTTTGCAGTCCTGCTGCAGGGACTCCTGCAACATAATAAAAAATATTCCTAATACATTTTTAAATGTCAAGATCCTTAAGATATCTTGGCAATATTGCAGTGACCCTTCAAGCATCATCATGGCATCCAGTATGTGAAATGCAACTTCATTTTCAGGTATTTTGCCCACTTGCCCAGCATAAAATGGGAGGCTGCTATGTTAGTGCTGAAGTCACTGGGCCCCCTGAGCTGATGATGCTCTTCTTCCCCAGTTAGTTGGCTGAGGGATGTGTAGACTGGAGCCCATGTTTCATGACAAATGAGTGTTTCCAAGCAATGTTCATATGTCAAGGAAGGAACTTCAGAAATTCTGCTCGGCGTGCCTGCAGTTGCTCTTTGGATCCCAGGCCTGGTGTTTCTTCAACTTGTGTTTAAAAATTGGAGCCTTGTAAAAGAGCATGTTTTTCACTGTGGTAGAATATGTACCTCTTTAAGCCACGGTTGGCCATACTTACGTTGTCATTACAATTTTAACTCCTCATGTCATCTTAGAATTGACAGGGCAGCATGTTCCACTGAAGAGGACTTGCTTATAAAACAACTTTCCTAACAGCAGCCCTCCATGTCACATGGCAGACTACTTTTGTAGTAGCATTTCTGAAGCCGTTTGCAGTGCAGCTGGCTGGAACTGTCAGCAGAAGAGGTGCAAATCAAGAACCCCATTGGCCAGGTGCCTGAAAGTGACTCTGTACAGATGCAAGCTACTCTCTTCCTTGTGTGGCAGGGAAAAAAGCAAGACAGTAAAATGTGATGCAGACTGTTACATCTCTTTGCAGTAGGACATATATTTGTGTGCTTGCAAAAATTTAGGTGTAACTTCAGGACAAGAATCAAAGAAATACTCATAATTTTATGACTTTTTGTTTTGTAGGAGCCATCTTAAGGGTGCTTCTCAGCTCACAGGGTCAAACTATATGTTGCATTAAATACATCTTCATAATTGCTTAGAGTTTTTTTTAATAGCAATGGTGGAGGCATAATCCGGGTCTGGATGACAGCAGAGGCAGGAAGGTTAAACCTTTCTGCTAGCACTGCAGTTCCAATCCTGACTGGAGTCTCTCACAGCTGCTATTTTAGAAATCTATATCCAAAGACATTTAGCATAACATTTTTGTCCACAGGCCACATCAAACAGTTTTTCCACTACAGTCTTAGTCTAAGAATATTTTTGCCCTTTCTGCTAATTATCTGAGAAGATATTTTATGTTAAATTGAAAAGTTATTTATGCAACTTTAGCTATACAGTTTGAGATTATAGTTGCTTACTAATAAAGTGGTCCTAGCCTTTCTCTTTAAGCTGGCTAAATTAATATGACTTGAAATGGCTGGTTTTACTTCACTGAAATATAGTTTGAAAGGTCAAAACTGTACCTGAAGCTTTGGACAATTTTGGGAAATAAAACTTAGCAATATGAATCAATATTTAATAGCATTCAATTCTGTTAAGAGAAGATTTAAAACTACTTACCCAAATCCCCCATTATTCTCTAGATACCAGTTATTCCATTTCAGAAGCCAAACTTTTCATTAGGATATACACCATTCAGTATCCCTGAATTCTGTGAACTGATTTCTTAAAACTTTTACTATTTCAATTTTATTAAGATGAGCATTTACAGCATGTACTTCCTGGCACATTATAAAGATTTATGAAATAAATTACATCCCAGGATACTCAAAAATGCATTTTATTTGGAATTCTGATTTTTATTCTAAAACTGGTTTTAGGTTGAGTCTGGAGAAAGGATATGTGAAGAGAGACCACTTAACATGTTCTGTTCTGGTCCTCGACCCAGCACAGAATTGCCCTTCATAAATTGTTTTTCACCCACAGTGGGAAACGTATGGGATATAGAAAACTTCCAGGCTAACAGCTCCTAGTTCTACCAAACAAAAGATACAGTACAATTATTCATTTCTTCCATTGTATTTTTGGTGGCAAGAAAAAGAAGTGATAGGACAACACAGGAGAGTCACCACAATTTCACCTTTACAAAGTCCAGTGAATGAGGCAGGGTCATTGCTCAATAAAAGTCTCACTTGGAAGAAATTGGTAAAATACTAAATTTAAATATTGAAGTTGATCCTGGATTAGCATTATTGTCATTATTTAGAGAACAGATGGGACAAAATACTGAAGGATCGATGATAAATTTAATGACAGCAGTAAAATTAATAATAGCAAGGAATTGGAAAATAAAAGGTGGATATCATATAGATGACTGGTATAAAGAAGTCTGGAGTATAGCTATTAATGGTAAGTTAACTTGTGATATTAAAATGGAAAAAAGGTTTGATAAGTGAAAACAAATTTGTAATTATTTGGAGACCTTTTATTGAATATATTTTAATAAAAGGAAAGGGGTGTGAACTACCACAAGAGTCAGTGCAGTTCTGGAAAGGAAGTGGGGCAAGCTGAATGAATAAATGATCTTACATTAAGTAACTAACTTTGTTGGTCCTGGTAGAGGTAGCACCAATATTAATGTATCGTTTAATTATGTTAATCAGTAATGTTTAATTAAAAATTAAAATTATTAAAATACACTTTTTTAAAAAAAAGAATATTAAGCCTCCCTTGGATGTGTACATAGTCTCTGGAAGCATGCAGAGTGCAGGGAGGAGGCATGGGCAGAAAAGACGGCGAGGCTCCTCTAAGTAGCGTGTTGTCTCAGCTTGAGGGTTTGGAGATGTGAGGCTCCTTGCACGCCCTCCGAGGCCCGTAAATGTAGCAGAGCGTGAGCTGGTGCTGTTTAGTTAGATGATGACTGCACACAAGTTGGAATGGGGGAATGGTGCCCGATCTCCTCCAGTCTACAGTGGCCATTCCTACTTCCTGCAAGCAACCATCCTTTTGCTAGCTTTGTCCATATCCTTGATTTATGCCATGCCTTAATCTGCCCTGCTTGGCTTTTAGGAGTATTCTGTACTAGCCAGAATGTAAGTTGGGCATTTAGCTCATACTGCCTAACTACAAGGGCTTTTATGAATAAACATAGAAACTGAGTGAGTCAGACGGGGTCTCCTGGGCCATCTAGTCTGACCCCCAGCTTCAGCCAGCTCCACTCATGACATACCTACCATGTGCATGTCCAGCCTATCCTTGAACACCCTCACTGATGGGGCTTCAACCACCCCCTGTGGAAGCCCATTCCATACCCTACAGGTCCGAACCATCAGGAAGTACTTCTTGACATCCACCTTGAATCCACCCTGAATTAATAAGCACTAATTCAAATCCCTATAGCTTTTGATTTGCTGATGCAGCTGCGGATATGCATTCCTCTCCCCTAACAATCCAGGGGCAGTATTGACTACGATGGGAGGACAAAAGGCCCATCTCAGCATTGCCGAATGAAAACAACATCTGGTCCATGCTAACTTCTCTGTAGTTGAAGTTGGGCAAGCAAATGCTTGGACTAGCAATGCAACCCATGTAACATTTGTGCCCCTGTCTCCCTGGAGGGTTTCACTATGCAGCAGCATTACTAAAGCTACTAATAAGCTGTGGTCTGTTTCACCCCAACATGCATGTGCCCTACTCTGCTGCAGGCAAAAGTAGCACTAGATAACATCTGAGACTGCTCTTGGTGTGTTAAATTGAGACGTGATAGTGGACTGAGAGACAGAAACAATAGTGAATTGTGATTTATGTTTATTTGGAGAGAGTGGTGACTGGTACCAGCTGGGCTGCTGAGATGAAGGAAAGAACAGCTAAGGAGTGACAAAGCTTATACTCTCATAGAAAAGACAATGTCCAGCTGACTAGAATCATGGATAGAAGCAATAATTAGAACATTTCTAAGATCATTGCAAAAATGCGGAAAAGCCCCACAAATAACACACAATCTTAGGTGGATTGCTATAATTCCATTTTCTTGTGGCATCTGCTTTATATCTGCATGCAAGCCCTCTCTTAATGTATGGCTCGCAGTTGTGGGGTATTCCACCAAGCTGCATGAGTTCTGCTACAGAGGTGGTGCTGAAGAGTGATTGTGTTGATCGCCCAGGTCACCTCTGTGTTCCAGAGATCCAACAGGGATTTGACAGAACTGCCAACCACAGCCAGAACCAACCTTCACCCCCCGCCCAAACCCTCTGGAACTGATCTGGATTCATTAGCCTCCAGTGGCAGACCATCTTGATCGGTCCCCATTGTCCACCCTTGCAGAGGGGAAAATTTGCCTTTAGTTCAGTATCAGCAGGCACTTGACTGACCACAACAAAGGGACTAACTCAGTGTTCCCCACCCTCAGATTACGATCCCCATTCCCAGTAAAACAAAACTTTATCTAGAGTGTGCCCTGCGATGTGAGTTGGACTGATGACATGTTGAGACAGTCCACGGTCCCCATGGAATCCATAAAATCCTGAGGTTCCTCAGGGTGCCCTCAGCATGGATGCCAACAATCCCCCACCCCTAAAAGCCTGGGGGTCTTCAGCATCACAACCAAGAACATTTCTGTTGGCTCAGAGAGAAAGTCTGTTGAGCAGCGGGGGGGGGGGGTACACCCCAGACTGGTAGACCAATGGGGCCTGGGGAGAGAAAGGGGATTTCTATAGACCACAGCAGAACCCACCCAGCAGCCCTAAGCTCTTCCTTGATGCTGAGTCAAGTGCCCCAGTGGGTTTGCCCACTCACCTCA